AATATTTTAATTATTTAATAATTTATTTATCTAACAAATACATAAAACCATATATATATATTTATTTAAAAAAAAATACAAACATATTCCTCATATTTTTTTAATTTTATTTTCAAATTTATTTGTATTTTGTTAATTCGTAACCATTAATATTTTTTTTTTCCATCTGTTTTTCAATTTGTTTAAAAAAATTTTCATATTCATCTTCCGTATTATTACCTTCCCCTCCTCTTCCGCAATATCTTCCTCCTTCATGTCGCCTTCCGCAACATTGTCATCCTCATCCTCATCCTCCCCAATATCATCATCCTCCCCATCATCGTCGTCCCCATCATCATCCTCCACATCCTCTTCCGCAACATCCTCCTCCTTCACCTCATCTTCCGCAACATTATCATCCTCAACATCATCGTCCGCAACATTTTCCTCCTCATCCTCATCATCCTCGTCCTCCTCCTCATCATTATCCTCATCATTGCCGTCGTCATCATCATCATCATCCACATTATCATACATTATCCTCCCACTCCCCCCACGCTGTTTAGGGTCTCTTGCCGGGATAATTTAAAATCTTTCGAAATATTATCAAATATTAATTCATATTAATTACCAATAATATGTATATATATATGTATATAATTGTATATATATGAACATAATATATTATACTTTAATATTAATATTGATAGATTGCCAAACATTATACTTATCTTATTATTATATGTCCATATATTTCCCGTCTTCAGTATCATCATCATCATCATCATCGTTACCTTCATTACCGCCCTGATGGTTCTGATCATCCACATCGTCCTCATCCACATTTTTTTTAACCTACTTCTCCTTTCAGTGACCCCCGCCAACTGACATTCCAACACATCCTGACGCTTTATCTGACATACGTATATTCTCACATCATACCTGACATATGTTCTAATATTCTATCTGATTGTATTGTGTCCTTTCATCTGACATATATTCCGGCATATCTGACATATATTCGATCAATTTCTGACATATATTTGGAAAGCCGACCATAAACTAGATTCAAAAACCAAAGTGACCCGTCAGGCGTCATTGGAGTCACCATTGCCCTCCTGTTCCCCTAATTTTCACCCACTCGAGGTCCAGGCTCAATTTCTATTGTTAGTCATATTTATTTTAGAAAATAAAGATAAGCATTTATACATATATATGATATGTATGATATATGTTTGAAATTGTTTAAATAGTTCTTCTTCAATGAATCTAAACAGATGCGATAAATTCAAGTTCTCCTCAAAATATTGTTTAATCAAGATTGATTAATCATGACTATGACTAATTGGGATTGTTTTGCCAACTAAGATCAATTTAGGCGAAAAATCTATGGATTTTTCAACCACCAACCAGAAGTGGATGGCTTGTAAATCCACATGATTCCATGGTGGTTGAATCGGACAAGTACACCTTTAGAAGTGATGTTACTGTACGATGATGTACTGATTTTCTCAAGAGATTCGCAACCAAGTCCGCACTTCCGGCATCCGCAAAAGGCTTGCCTTGGGAACAACGAAAATCATTCGGCTCTGAGACTTGTTAGGACCCTTCAAATTTCAAGACCTATGTAGTTGAGCCAGACCTTTTCCATCAAAAAAAAATGCGGAACCAATTGGACACAATGTAAAGTAGATTCTAAAATCATTCCAGCAATTTTCCTTTCCCACACCATTTTGACATGTTGAAACCATCTAAAGCCCGCTGGAGATTCTGAGTTCCATCGAACAAACACAACCAGCGACGCTCGGTTGCTGTGTCCCCGGACATTGGTCGGAAAGAAACGGCACTCGCGGCCGTCGAGGTTCAACTTTGGAGCCTGGAGCCATCAGCTGAAAGCTGTTTGGATGAATCCTAACAGAAAATGAAAGAAGAACCATTTCAAGTTCCAAGTTCCAAACCCAGCCACTTGAGGGTAAATATATATATATAGTGCTAGATCAATTAATGTTGGGTCATTAAATGATGTTCAATGGAAAAGTTATTGATGTGCTACCACTATCTGGGAATTGGATTTCACTCACATCTATTGTTTTGGTGAATATTTGATATATAATTGGGTATACGCGCAAAATGTCCCAAAAATATCAAACAAATGCATTAAGAAACATGATGATTCAACATTGCATATGGGGGGTATATACTTTTTTGGTACCCTATATTTTTGGACAGATCCATATGTTTGCATTTTCTTAAGGCTCTTGGAGAGTGGATCACCGAGGATAACCTAAATGTGGAAAACCCAGCATGTGTAGATCTTTTTCCTAGGGGTTCCCAAAGGGTTTTCCACATCTATTCAACTTTTAACCACATTTAGAACTAAGTAACCTTTATTAACCCATGGTTCCTAACCCAGCATGTGTAGATCCCTAGTTCATTTCACCAAGGGTATCCTTCAACTTTTCCATCTTTTTCCTGATCACCGCGCCTTCTCCATAGACCTGGCCACCTCTTTAAGGTGCTCAGCATCTATCCAGATGGGCTGCAGGTGCCCAACCTGCCAGTGTTTTTGTTCACGCGATATTCGAGAAAAAAACGTGTATCTGGAAATAGGGAAAACTATGGAAAACTTATGAACATGTCCAAAGAATATCTGGTTTTTTTGAAGGTTCTGAGGAACATCTGAGTGTATCTGATTGATTATCTGGAAATGTGTGACGAATAAAGATCCAGTTCATGTGCCAATTCATGTAATTAGGGAAGAAATTTATACGAGTTTATGAGGATTGACCTCTTTTTGTTTACTCCGAGTTGGGAGCCACAGTCTGGACATAGCTTCAACATTTTTATCCAATCCTTCCAACAATAACGCCCCCGACTTATGGGACTCGGCTTCCCTTCGCGGCACCTTGCCCACATGGTAGGACGGACCTCATGTCGCATATAGTGATGTCAAACATGATGTTACATGTGTATGTAGAGATAGCAAACCACCCTTGATGCCCACTTCTGACCTGAAAAAAGGATTGGCCGAGCAAGCAGACGACAGAAACAGGCCAACCATGCCAAATGTGAGCCAACCCTGAGTCCACCAGTATCCGGATCGATGCAGGGCAACGTTTTTGGTGTCCAAATGTGTCCAACATTTAAGACATCAATTCATGATAACAAATGTCAGTGGAATACAGTACAAGGGTATCACTTGTTGTAATCCAAGGTTTGCCCGTTTGCCCAGCAATCATGCCCCTGACAGAAGTATGCCAAGGGAAGGGGTTTTTCCCGCAAATGGCAGATTCAGAATTCCATGTTGGTAGATTAGAATCTCTATATTTCTACTGCGAACAAGATGATAAACCATGATAGTATGATATAGACCATTGGATTCAAAGCGTCCAAACCCCAAAAAGTATCACCAATTTAACCCCTGAGTGAAGCACTGGGCTTCGGCAGCGCTTCCAATTCAGCTGCTGCTTCCTTGCTGAGTCAATGGGGTTCATCACTGCTAGGCTTTGAAGACATATTTCATGATAGTCAGATCACCAGACTGAAAAAAACCTCACCTCTTGGGCTTGGTAACCCTACCTTTGAGGCAAAACCACTGTTGGCAAGTGGTCAATTCATGCTAAATCATGGCAAGAGTACCTGGTTTCAGTCCGGATTTTTCCAACCCATACCCTCTGGTGAACTAACATAGCAATGGAAAATGGCTATTTATAGTGGATTTTCCCATCAAAAATGGTGATTTTCCATTGCTATGTTAGTTCACCAGAGGGTATTAAATCTATGCAAATCTCATATCAACCAACTGGTAGAAACTCCATGAACCTCCCATGATCTCCTCCCGGCGTTGCTTCTTGACTGCGGGTTCCTGTCCTGAAGCACAAGCAACCCCAATGGAGCCCAAATACACCTAAGTTGTTTCCTGAAGATCTTGATGATTTGATATGATTTGTTTCAGTGATGGCTCGTTTGGTCGGGAAATAAAAAAGTTTGAAGTTGAGCAAGTTCAAGAAACATGTGCGTGTTGGGAACATTGCAAGGCAGCTACAGAGACAGAACACAACATTTGTTTGTAACCACCATCCAGCCAGCAAAGTTGTCCCTCTCTCAAAGTCAATTTCAAAGCTATAGGGATCGTATAGGGCTTGGCCCTGCATGACTCTCACTGTTTGACTACTGGCATCCCGGACGAGATGCAACGTGACACATGCTTTGCAAACCTACTAACCTTGTGCAGCCATGTTTATGACATAGCGCTGTCAAAAATAAACATTGATGATGATGATGATGATGATGCTGATGATGATGATGATGATGATGATGATGATAATGCTGGTGGTGGTGGTGGTGGCGGTGATGGCGATGGTGATGGTGATGATGATGATGATGGTGGTGGTGATGATGATGATCATTATCATTAGTGTGCCCGTTTTTGGTCAGTTTGTCTCCCCATCTTGGTTTATCTTGTCTTGATTGCCCCCATGTTTATGGCTGGAAACCACCAACAAGATTCGCATGCCCCGGGAAATGAATATCCCCCATTGAAGCTCCCATCAATGATACTTACTACATACATAAGTTGATAGCTAGCTATCACTCACTTCTCCATTAACGCTAGTTGTTGCTATATATAACCCAGAAACTAGTTCTTATATGTTCTTATATCATTGTAAAGTTTCATTGCAAACTTCCCCCAACGAATACGTATGTGGATACTTTTCTTCTACAAGTACGTATATCTCTATGTATATATATGGATATGGGAAACATATCTTATGTATACTATCGATACTATATGTATTATAATATATATATATATGTACATATTGTGGTCTCTTGGGACTCGGCCGCGCCTGGCTCATGCACTTCTCCAGGAGGAACCTCACAGAAGAGCACCGTCATACTGGCCTGAGATCACCGCTGAAGGTTACCCAACAACTGGAAATACAATGGGGGATTACTAGAAACAGATGGGGGAGAAGGATAGGATAAGATATGAAGATTTGATCATATAGATGATTCATCGGTGGGAAAACCATAGAATTATAGCATAAAATTTCCATAGGAAAAGGATGGGATACATTCCCGGAGTCCTGAACCTTCTGAAGCCTCAAAAACTCAGCCAGCTGCGGGTGGAAAGTAGAGAGCCATGTTATCAGCGCCGCTCCTGGCACAATGGGATCAGGGGATGGCCCTAGGCCCTAGGCCCTCGATACGAGTACCTCCTTGATTGGACGTTTTGGGAGAGACACCACAGTGCACAAGAACAACTCCTGTTTGAAAACAAGTGTGAAAGTGTCTCCTCAAAATTCTCCTCAAATTTGTGTAATGAAATCATACTCCAACTATAGTTTGAATTGTGCATTATGAATCAGACCCAAAATATACAATCTCCTCCAATTGAGTAATGAACATTATACCCTCCAGTAAATTAACATAGACCCTGGTAGATAGGGGTTGGAAGATTAGTTTCCTCTAAAAATTGGTGATTTTCAGGGTCTATGTTTGTTTACCAGAGGGTAAATCAAAAACTTTCATGCATCGTTTTGTTGTAAGGCTTGATATCCGCCCCTCGGCTGTACAGTACTCGGCCATCTCAACAGGCCAGGTGAACCATGTCATTGGAACCTTGGCGCCTGGAGCGATGCCTGGGCGCGACACTTTTTTTTAGCTGGGGAAGAAAGACTATAACAATTATAATGAGTCATTTAAGCAAATACATGTACCCTCTGGTAATTTAACATAGCTATGGAAAATGACCATAGAAATAGTGGATTTTCCCATTAATAATGGTGATTTTCTATAGCTACGTTGGTTTACCAGAGGGTATACACCTGTAAGTACCATGCTCGATGACTTGATTTTTATCATTTTGCTTCATGACATGCACATGTCCGCCCTGGAGTGTTGCTGAGGGACGATTAGCAGTGACGTCGCCGCCACCCTCGAAGTCAGCAAAATCCAGGAACCTCTGGGGGCATCAATTCACAGGAAACTGACATGGCTATGGATCAATACCTATAGATACAGTTCATTAGGGGATGAACATCCATTTACCAGCTATTTTGGGGTTCACCAGGGGTACAAGGTTTTGACCCATCCCCACATGTTTCGACAGGTAAAACATGGTAAAAGCCGTGAAAAACTCCATCGCTGTCCGTATCGTATGGTTATTTTGAGCCAATCCAATAGAAGGGTTGGTACTTTCAGCGAGAAACACGCATGCGGCTCTGCATGTATTATAGGGACGTACTGGTCATATAATCAACACCTTGACACCGGTCAGCAGATTGGTATGGGGTTTGTCAGTTTTCGACCCAAATATCCAGGCATGCAACGCTTCACTTCTTAAAGAAGGCTTACACCAAATATCTAGGGGTAGGGTACCAAAAAGGGTTACTAATGTCTGCACACTTGTATGACTTTAAGACTGAGACTGATGTCCACTGAGAAGGTATGTCTTTGCTCTCTGTCATTAGTCAAGTGGGATCCATCATCACAACTACCCGGGAAAATCAAACATAAGATCAAAGACACCAAACATAATCAACTACCCTATGAGTACTTAGCACTAGTTAACATAGCTATGGAAAATCACCATTTTTGATGGCTGGATGTAGGTAAATCATCCATAAATACGCCATTTTCCATAGCCATGTTCAATCACCGGAGGGTTTTTCTTCCCGCTGTGGCCTTGCCAAAGCACCAAAGTCCAAGGTCTCCTGTCCGTGGTCCATCTAGGATCTGAAGATCTCTTGGATGTGAATCATTTGAAGTTCAATTTGATCATTACATGATTTGATCGTTTCTGAAGTACAAAAAATGATTCCTTTTTGCTCATTAATGGTCTTAATGGATGTATAATATATGGCTTTGCATGAGCATGATGTACCCATGTGTACCCCAAGTTATGGCCACTTTAATGAGAGATCTAAGAAAATTATGGTCAACCTGGGATACCGTATTCATATGAAACGATCTGAAATTATATATATAGTTCCATTTGAATCATTTTTGAAGTACTCAAAAACTGACTGATTATTAATCCATGGTTTTGATCCATGACCTCGAACCTACGATTTCAATCTCTAGTTTCTGCTCGTTTTACACCATTTTTCGAACCAGCCTTGGTGGCCAGCATGATGTGGCACTGGGTCAGAACATGAATCAGGTAGTCTAATTGCAAACAATGCCTTCATTCAACCTGAAAGCTATGGCCCCAAAGATTCCGTTCAACCACACCGGAATAATCCAGTGGTTCGAACAAATGTGAGGGATCTGCAGATGGTATTGACTCTATTGACGCTTCCATTTGTCAGTTGTATCTCCATTCCAATACCATTGATTAAACATATGTAGATGCTATGTGCTTTTTGTGTGCCCAACGTCATCCCGCTCTCCATTGCCCTTTGCAGCCAGGGCCCATGGCTGGTCCTCAATGTACTCCCTCTTGGCTGTCTCCACAGCATCATTCTTATCCTGGAGATGGGCTACACAGCTGTCACAGTGCACTTCTTGGATCTACTTGGAGGTGTGTAAATTGAACGTTCATTGTGTGATACAAATTATTTAACCCACGAATTTTGCTGGCCAGATCTGGCAAGTTCAAAATGCAAGGGATGGATATGAATTCTCTTTCACAGCATAGCACCGTGGCTCTCTTCAGATCAACCCGGCCTTTTTCTCCTTCCTCCCCATGGGAAAAACCACCAGGAGCCTCAGAGAAGAGCGATGCAACCAGTTTTTTGGCCCCAGTGGTCAACGTATGCTCTCTTGGAGTAGAGAAACCCTCGTGGCATTCATGAGTTTTGGCTGATTTTAGATGATTTTGGCTGGAATTGAGCGGTTCCCAGCTCTAGGACTCTAGGACTCTAGGATTTACTTGTCATCATGCCGAGACTTGGTGCTACACCCAAAAGCTGGGGAGACGAACTTGTTCACCTTGCCCTTTTCTTCCAACCCCAAAAAGCCAGCGGAGACTTTTCTCTCCTTCCAAATGCAAAGCATGGACAGGCTGGACAGGCTGGACAGACTGGACAGGCTGGACAGGCTGGACCAGTTCACCTTTCCATCTCGGTTCAAGAGCGACAGCACAAGGAGTGCTTGTATCAGTCCATCACCCATTTGTCTATGTGGGCACAAACAAACAGTCATTTGTTTCCTGGATCACTGTGAAATGTCCCTCCACAAACACTGAATCATGCACCTCCACTGCCAAACCCGTTGTGCGCGTTTTGCAAAAAACTTCCGGTGAAATGGATTGACCCGACAACTGGTCCATCATCTGCTAAATGCTAAACAAAAAACGATAAAACAATCTCCAAGTCATCGCCATTAATGTCAACCCTGGATTAATAAACCCCAAACGGCTGTTTAATTGGGAGGGTACCATAAAAAAGTATCATATGAAATGACTATTGGAGGGGTACCCCCCTAATTGTCATAAACCATGGATCTATGGTTTATTAACCACTATTAACCACTATTAACCACTATTAACCACTATTAACCACTATTAACCACTATTAAGCACTATTAATCATGGTTTATTACTCCGGGGTTGACATTATGGGATTGAAACCATCCCAGTGGGGTCCTCCAAGGCCACCAAGACCTTGTCGACGCTGCCATCTTCGTGGCGTGTAAAGAAGACCACTGCGGCAGCTCGGTACGCCTCCTCCGTCGCGATCCGTGGCGATGCCGCGATGATCACTGGAGCTGGATGAGTCTATCATCATCTTTTAATGGAGGTTTCTGAAGTCATGGGAGGTTTCTGATGAATGATAGATTATGATGATCACTGGAGGTTTCTGAAGTCATGGGGATACCCCCAAATTATCCTAAATTAGACCAGTTTGGTGAATGATTTACGGGCCACACCTTAGCTCATCGCCTTAACTGCAGGGGTGGGGTAGTGGCTCGCCCGTCCGCCTAGTGTTGCATCCGGGTATTGAACCCGGGTCTAACGCATGAGGAATGCGTCTTATCAACTAGACCATACCGGCCCTCCTTAGACCAGTTTGGCATTGAAACCCATGGTTTCGGGGATCGGCATGGCTTAAGAAACCTCCTTTTGGAGGTAGAAACATATAGAAACATCGAGAAAAATCAACAGATGGAAGATTGAACACCATCTTTTGAACGTACCAGCACTAGAGTCGCCAAATTCAGGGATTGAACGACTTCTGAGGTGGATTCATCCTCCCTTTTCACTTTTCTAACAAACGCAGCTTTTAGGCGTCCGGTGATATGACTCAATGCTCAAGGACTCAAGGCCGTTATCAAAGGTAGGACCAGGTAAGACTTTGCATTTCCACATCTTTGGAGCATGACCATGCCTATCCATCAAAGGGATGCCAACACAGCATGGTTTAACCCGGACGACTCTTGACAGTCCTTAACAATCTTACCCTCTGGTAAACTAACATAGCTATTGAAAATTGCCATTTATAGTGGATTTACCCATTAAAAATAGTGATTTTCCATAGCTATGTTAGTTTACGCTCACGCCGCCTCTAACGACCCCAGGCGGTTTGCGTGTTTTGATGTGCCATGTGCGTGTTGTGTTTTCTTTTGGGGGGGTGGGGGGGGTGGGTGGGGTGGGGTGGGATGTTAACGTTCCTTGCACTTCGTACATTACATGTTGCTACGCTGTAGAGATCTCTGGGATCGTTGCTACGTCACATGTTGTTACGTTGCTGATGGTGTGGGGTGGTGTGGGGTGGGGTGGGATGTTTACGTTCCTTGCACTTCGTACATTTCATGTTGCTACGCTGTAGAGATCTCTGGGATCGTTGCTACGTCACATGTTGTTACGTTGCTGATGGTGTGGGGTGGTGTGGTGTGGGGTGGGGTGGGATGTTTACGTTCCTTGCACTTCGTACATTACATGTTGCTACGCTGTAGAGATCTCTGGGATCGTTGCTACGTCACATGTTGTTACGTTGCTGATGGTGTGGGGGGGTGTGGGGTGGGGTGGGGTGGGATGTTTACGTTCCTTGCACTTCGTACATTTCATGTTGCTACGCTGTAGAGATCTCTGGGATCGTTGCTACGTCACATGTTGTTACGTTGCTGATGGTGTGGGGTGGTGTGGGGTGGGGTGGGGGGGGATGTTTACGTTCCTTGCACTTCGTACATTTCATGTTGCTACGCTGTAGAGATCTCTGGGATCGTTGCTACGTCACATGTTGTTACGTTGCTGATGGTGTGGGGTGGTGTGGGGTGGGGTGGGGTGGGATGTTTACGTTCCTTGCACTTCGTACATTTCATGTTGCTACGCTGTAGAGATCTCTGGGATCGTTGCTACGTCACATGTTGTTACGTTGCTGATGGTGTGGGGATTGAAAGACTTGCAAGATTGAAAGAACTTGGCACGTTGGCAAAGACTTGCAAGTGAAAAATATAAAAACTTCGGTTTTTTTTTGTATGGGGACAAAAATTGAATGCTTCGACCACTGTAAATTCATGAAAACGACTACAAAGTCATGCAAATACCAATGGAAATGCAAGTCATGTCAAAATGCGAATGTCACAAAACCCTGGAAGGGTTGCAAAACTGAAGACTGAGCTGCTGGAAAAAAGGTGAAATTGCGCGGGGTCATTGCGGGCGGCGTGTCCTAGTTTACCAGAGGGTAACAGATATTCATAGATAGGATTTCACCAATCTTCATGTCCCAAAACAGGCGCCCTCCAGCTGACGACACAGTTGGTGTGACGGGTAACCTGTGGTACCACATCAAAACTGGAACCAAAAATGATGATTTTGAGACGGGTTAATCTAACGTATTCCAGACTATTTAACCACTCTGTTTTTGGGCTAAGAGCCTTGAGCCATGCACATCTAACTATATTTGACCGAGAAAATCCTGGTGTTATATTCCGATTGATCAAACATCCATTGCCAGTATTGGGTGTGTCTGAAAATAGTGTACCCCTTTTTGCCCAATGGTTTTGCTGATCATTATCCCTATTAAATGGCTATTTGTTTGGGAATATACCCTATTTTCAGACAAATCCATTGTAATCTGTCCTCTGCATTTTGCTTCTGCGCTGAGGCGCTTTGACTCGCTGTCGGTGCCTGAGAGCATCCCAGGGAAGGTCAAGAAGGCGAATTCTTCTGCCAAGTTTAATGTCAGTTCAGGATTAGCAGTTCCATGCGATGATACCAAAACAACATCACAAAAAAACATCACAAATGAGGCTCCTGCTCTGTTTCACAAGAACCTCTCCCTCAGGTTCTCTAAATCTAAGTTGTCCATTGAAGATTTAGCATCAGAAACAATGGCATCTGGCCAGAGGTTCCTCTGATTCATCCAGAAAATGATGTGCCCCGATCCTGGTTAGACTGGGTGATTTCATCCTGCTGAACTGTTTTAGGCGGGCTTGTTTGACGGATTCATACATGGTTACAGCGGTTACGGGTCAAAGCCCTGGTACCTTGAGGAACACCAAAGTAGCTGATAAATGGATTTCATCCTCCCAACATATGGTATATTATGGCATAATCATAATATATCATAATATCATACCAACATTATAGCATAATATACCATATTCATAATATGCCATAATATAATAATATTATGGTATATTATATGGTATAATTTAAGCTTTGAATGGTGTTGATCCATCCCCACATATCCAAAAACATCACCCCATTGAAGCGGGAGATCGGGGTGCAAGGGCCCCGAGTTCCAAGTTGGCTGAGAACCCGGTGCGACTATAGATACAGCATGATCATGATGCATCATAACATCCTTTCTGTATAGATATATCAGGAAGCATCATACTATATATATAATTATATATATATACACATCAATAAATTATATATATACACACCCATTCTAACTATTTACTTATATCATCTTATATCATCCATTCATATCCATGAATAACCCCTTGCCTGCACCCCCAAATATAGATATCCATCACAAATCCAATCGTTGGTCGCAGCACCTCCTTCTTTGCCTTGGACTTTGCCGAGGCCTGGTCGTCAAGCATCATCAAGCTGAAACTGGCAGTGACTCTCCGGGTGAAACGTGGAAAAAGTGCTGGCTTAAAATGGCTTAAAACATCATAAACATCCGATAATCATCTGAGAATATCCACATTTTTATGGTGACAACATGTGAGAATCATCTGATAGTCCACATCGTATATCATTTGATGGTGGGCTTGGAATCTCAATGACCGATGGACTAGATCTTCACTCCGCTTCCAAGGTTCACAGGATCTAAAAAAAGTTGAGCTCGTAGCCCGACCCATGTCATTAGCATCATTAGTCATTAGCTAAAGCTCTTGTCATGTCATGTATAGATTCCAGGTTTTTTCCAGTGGTCTCTAATGCCTAGGTTCTTTTGGGCAATGCTGAATTCCAAGCATGGGGTAACGAGAAACATCTTGGGCCGTCCAGAAGCCCAGAAGAACTAGGATTTGGATGTGTCTAGGAGAGAAAAACTCGAACACACACCATCACACACCCATGTAATATACACCATATATACACTATTTATCTTAAATCATCTTAAATCCCTGTTGATGGGTTTAAATCCCCCGGCTTCTCCGCCTCCTCTTGGGCTTTGTCAGTCCCTGCTTCCTTGCTCGCGGCTTTCTTTTTTGCCTCCAATGCGGAAGAATTGGGGAAAATGGGGGGCAATGAGAACTTGGAATACTAAGTTGAGTCAGAAAAAATATTGAAATATCAGACACAAAAGGGCATTTAACCCATCAACAATAGGGACCTAAGATGAATCAAACAATAAATAGTGTATATAATATGAAATTATAATATGTATGTATACATTATATGGGTGTAATTTTAGTCATAAAGCATTCAACTACTGAAACTTGGAACTGACAAGCCTATCTTGGGTGGGATGGCTTTAGGGGTTCCCAATTTCGAGAAACCCCGTACGGCTCATTGGGGTAACAATCGATCAAACTGATCATGTTCAGGAACCTCTCGCATCACCAAGGATTCAGCGGTGCTGATGGGGAAGCTACCCATAAAAAGGCACTGATTGATGGTCAAAACAAAGTGAGCGATTTATGAGAAAGTATGAGAAAATCATGAGAATCTTATGAGAAATTGTGCTAAATTAGTAACAAATTAGTGAGAAATTTATGGGAAATTGGGGACCAATCTGATTGTGGAAGATGTCCGGTTCCGCTGGGTATGCGTCCCGCAGGGCCTTCTTCGCCATGAGGTGATAATGGCTGAAACTCGGCTCCAGTTTTGTAGGGCAAAGTGCCACTTTTGTGGGGCTGGTTTTGTGAACATCTGTCAAACATATTCAAACATCTGGAGATGTAAATGATAATAACATTTTGTTCTTGATATTTCACTGATCTGAAATAACATGAAATAAGGATAAATATAAGACTATTTTGGAATAGTTACCGCATGTTACCCCTATACGAACTGTAATTCCAGTCAGGTCGCAGTGAGGTGTTTTTTTATTATCTAGAACGTTCTAGAAAAATAAAGATGAGAAAACCCGATGAAAACCCCAGTGCTTGGAAACGATGCTCTCCTATCTGTGTGACATCTGTGTGACTTCATGTGTTCGCAGCGATGGAGTGCCGCACTGTCATTGGCGACACCGATCTCTGGGAGATACAGATGTAACCTGGAGGTTCAAACCGTGAGTCGAAGCTGAAACCAGGCGGTCTAGCCATGTAATTTGAAGGCTTCCAAGTGCTTTGTCCAATAGATTCTACCCATATAGAACAAAGCGTGATTTAGTCTCGCTCCAAATTTGTGAAATCAAGAGTCATGAGACACTTTTGTAGTATTGACTCCATCCATTGCCGTGGGTGAGGTGCTTACCGCACTTGATTGATTCGACGAGCAGCTGGTAGGGCAGGTCATTGGCTAGCTATGGCCCCACAAAAAGCAGGTCAGTTTTAGGATCTCCAACAATCCATGATGCAGGTTTGCAATTTTGATCCATACTCACATGCCTTCTATTCTCAAATTTTATGAAATAAAAAACGCATGGAATCTGATGGACAAAAATGGAGGGACACCTCCCTGCCGAGTCTTTCTCCGAAAATCACTAGCGGTCCCTGGTGACGAGCTAAAATGAGCTAAACACCGTTCGTTCTATGAAATCACCAACCGATCTTTTGGTGTTAAGCAAATTGGGGGATATTGGGGGTGGGGTTTCTAAAGAACCTCAGAGACACTCCTCAAAAAGACTTACGCTTTCTTTGTTCAACCATTCATGGCCAAAAAATCACCCGACCCAGCAACATGCAACAACCTAGCAACATCTACCAACAACCTTCCAAGAACTCTCGGTTTTTCCCAGTTCGGACTTCAAAACCACAGAGCTTTGGTCGCGCGCAGCTGAGACACTTTTTCTGCTACAGCTCCATGTGTGTCGCCGGCCTCGTAGCTTCAATGGATCATTCATTGCCAAAAAACTTTGCCCAACAACAAACCCCAACAGCAATGATAATAATCTGGTTGGTGGTTTCAACCCCTCTGAAAAATATTAGTCAGTTGGGATGATTATTCCCAATATATGGAAAAATGAAAAATGTTCCAAACCACCAATCAGTAATGATATTTAATGATATGCAATGACTGTTGACTTTTAATCTGGGTCTGGGAGTGGTGCTTGTCGTTTTTCTGCGCCAAAAAACCGGAACGTTCAATTGGTAGATTATAATGATTATACCATCTATTATCATCTATTATACCCAACTGATGGCCACAGATCTCAATCTTATGCCCAAATTATACCATATTATAGCATATTATAGCCAACAACCAATGGCCGTTAACCGCTAACCTCACTGGTCCAGCCAGGCTCGTGGCTGTTTGACGTCCGCGTCGTGACCCGCGTCGTGACCCGCGGCGACCTGGATGCAGCACCAGTTTTCATCATCGCCGGCAAGTACCACCAATATGGCAGTGTGTCAAAACCTTGTACCCCTGGTGAACATCAAAATAGCTGGTAAATGGATGTTCATCCCCCTAAAAATGTATCTATAGGTATTGACCCATACCCATATGAGAATTTCATTGAGTACTTTAGATTGAACAGAGAAAATAATGTAGAAGGTGCTATAATGTGCTATATTACTCAAGATCATATTCACCGTTCCTTGTACCTCCTAGCTGGCCTCTGAATCATCTTGATCTCAAGATTTGACTCACGGCTATGTATCGCGTAGTCTAGCCAGTGCACAGAAACCACTCGTAACAGGAAATACCAGATTCCATAGTCTGTCCATCAATCCTCATCTACTCGCAAGCATTCTCAATCATTCCTCAACAACCTAAAGTTCAAGTTTGAAACAGCATCAAAGGCATCAAACATCATGACCTAAAAACAACCCTTTCATATCCTTCCATCACATCCGACTTTGCGGACGCGGAGCCACCTGGCTGAATCCTCTTCCCCTGCGTGAGAAATGACTCACCAAGGAGTCACAACCTCGGGGTTCCAAATAGGATCTGAAAGTGACCCCGAAATTCCGCGGAAACTTGAAATTGCTTGGGGTCCTGGGGTGCCCTTCAGGTCAACATCAAGGAACCAATGCTACTCAGTACGGCTGTGGCTCAACATTGAAACATGTGCTGCTCAAATAGTTGGACAATTCTTCTCAAAGAGAACAAAAAACACTATTAATGTGTAATACTATTTACATAATGAATAAACAAAATAAACTATTAATAGTGTTACATTAATATTTTATCATGAATGTAATACAACTAGTTTATTGGAAACTTAATGCATGATGTAAAATACCTGAAGAATTTCAACCTACATTCCACCCTGGCCTCACTACTGGGGCCCGCACCCAGGGAATTTGCCACCTGCCAAGCATGGGGCGATCATCACCAAACGTCATCATCCACAGGTTCTGGTTGAAAATCAATTTGGTCAATTTCTTAAATGAGAGTTATGACACTGTTGGGCTGCAAGTTGTTTAGCGAAATGGGGTATCATTTCCGTGTGTAACCTTGGAGGTTGAAAGTCAAAAACAGCATCATCAAACTATCGAATACTGTCGAACTATATCAATGGGCATGTCAAGGCACACTTCATGTGAGATCCAATTTATGTATTCCAAGCCCGTAAATGTAGTATCATTCCTGCTCCAGCAGTTCGATTGTAGCATTGTGCAATATGTAGATATTCTTGCTATTCGTAATAATACTACTGCCAATAGGAATAATATGGAATAATACTGCAAGATACTACAAGTATCTACAAGTCCTAAGTACTAGTACTAGTAAGATATGGCAACAGTTGAATTATGCTTGCAACGTACGTTGCACCAAATTCATTGAGATCCTGTCATCGGATCGAGGGTGGAGTTGTCACTGCCCGGCAGAAACAATGGGAATCCCAAACATGAAACTTCTGTGTCTGGCAGCTGCTTTCGCCATTTTCGCACCAAAATATCGTATCTTGTCATCACTACAGAATTTCACTATTTTCAACCGATGTTCATTGCAGGATTGAAAAACAAATTCAAAGTTACTCATAGAGGGGATAGGCACCACGTATATATCCCATTTATCTCATGCATTACCCTGTTTTGCTTGGATTTGCTGAAGGCACCCCAAAACATCCCAAAACAATAGCACGTATTCCATCTTAAGCTCTATTTATAGTGGATTTCCCCATATTTTCCTATGATTTTCGCGAACTAAACGAGAAAACCTCCACAAAAAGGCCACACGCCCCCACGGCCCTTCTTTTCGGGCGCCTCAGCTTCGATGGCCTTGCGCACACGCAAGGTGATCGCCTTACAAGACACCACATCAAGTGCCTCGCAGCGCCAAGGGCTGAAAAACGGAGAGGTGATCATCAGTGATGTAACCAACAATAATGGTGGTTTTATGGGAAAATCATAGGAAAACCATAGGAAAATGGTGGTTATACCCTCTGGTAAACGTTTACAAAAAACTATGGAAAATCACCATGCTATTACTGGGAAAACTCACTATTTCTATGGCAATTTTCAATAGCTTTTTGTATGTTTACCAGAGGGTAATAATTGTAGATGGTATATATTGTACTTCAGGTGATTATCAGTGATTATGTATTATATCATTATATATATATCAGGTGATTATCAACAATTATTATATCTAGCAATTCACCGATGGACCGATGATATAGTAATTGTTGATAAATTATCAACAATTATTAGATAATCAATATAATATAACGATATAACTAGGTGATTATTATCATCATAATTATAATTGATGATATGAATAATGAACTATAATGATGTAATGCTAAAAATCACCTACAATATAAGTAAAGCGATAATGATAGTCATACATAGTAGTACACATGAGAATAGTAATGATAAAGGTAATGATAATGAGAATGAACTATAATGACAATAATAATTACGATAATGACATATTTACCAATAAACATAATTCTCTGTATAATAATGATGAGGATATTGATCATGCAATTACCATAAGTTTGATAATTATCAGCATCAGGTGTATCACAATACTACTTAATCCTGATAATGATAATAATTACAATTTATTGTGATAATCATGATTAATTACAATGATCATCACAATGATAACAATCACAATACATAATCAACTAGTATCATCATGGTAATAATCATAATTATCCGTGCGATAATCAAGATTTATAATGATAATCATGGTGTGAACATGACAATCCACTATGATAATTACAATTATTTATGACAATCATCAGTATGATGAGCCACTATGATCATGATAACCACAATAATTCACAATGAATTCATGGGGCATAACCAACTATGATAATAGTCATAATCATGATAATGATATCTAATCTAAGTTACAACTATACCAATACTAATCATAGTATGGGTAGGCCGGTAATAATGTATAGTATAGTAACTATCATCATAACATAAGCAAGACTGTAACAATTATCATAAGGAAGAAGTTTATATATATATATACTATATTAATGTTAGAGTCATTAAATCATCTTCAAGAGTCATTAAATCAGGTACTTTCTTGACAATGCTCATCACTTTTTTAATAGGGAAGATGCAACCACCCCCCCCGCATTGTCAAGGGTGAATCTTAACCACCAATGCTCGTCACATTCATTCGTCTCAATAAGGGTACCATTGATGTATTATATATATACACAGATTGATCATATATATATATATTAATGAATCATATACAATATTATATATATATACTGTATATAATCTATTAACTATCCATTGGGGGCTTGTTAGACTATTTACGAATTATCCTCATAAGCTCAAGCGTAATATTGGGGTGTCATCTATTACTGGTTGGTGGTTGGGCCACCCCTCTTCAAAAATGATGGAGTTCGTCAGTTGGGGTTATGCAATTCCCAATATATTGAAAAATAAAATTCATGTTCCAAACCACCAACCAGATTATCAATCATCCTAGTATCATAACGCACGCATTGGGGTAGAATCCCCATGAATTCTGATGATCCTTGAGCTCTCAGGCCGCATAGTGCATTTCCGGCCAGGTGTGGATCTGAGTTTCGCCGCATTGATCTTGACATGGGATCAATGGCTGGTAGAGTGGAAGATATGTGAAAACACACGTGTAAATCAGGTAAAATCATAGGACATGATTGGAAAATCATGGGAAAATCATACAATGTCAACCATATACGGAAGGACTATAAACTACAGATTTTAGCCAATAATATGGTGACTAACTTCCTAACCTAGAATGGGAAGAACCGCTCCAAATCTGTTTGTCCAGAACATACCCCATGTATGGCCACTGCAAAAAGAATCAACATATGGTGAAGATTACGACTTCTGATTCATGTGTATGACGCAGGATTCTTGTGCTGCAAAGATCTAGAAACATATCTATTGCACAACATCAACACATCTGGTCCTCCCACAAATTCTACTGCTCGATTATGGTCCACCATTGAGGGTTGAATTTCAACTGGGGAGGAATTGCGACCTATAAATCTGGTCAACTGGGGCCAACCCAGACCTATAAACAGTTCACCTTGCGACAAATTATATGATCATATCATAGTTCTAGTTAACTGCTACATATCACATAGTATAGTTATTCATAGTTATTACAACAAATTACATATCACAGTTCATCAACATTAACATCTACTAGCGGGCGACATCATGACTAGATCCAAAAAAGACATGCACTATACATTTCTTCAGCCCCTCTTTGAAGCCAGCCAAGATATTACAAGATATATTTTAATATATAGATATAATATAATTATAGATATTATCAATACAGTGTATAATTGTACAAGTAAATTACTCAGGACAAACAGCAATTGCTTACAGTAGCCCATTTATAAATCACCACTCCTCACCAGTCCTAGCATCATCCATCCCTAAGCTCCCTGGCCGACAGGTGCGATTCCGAGACTAAGAGCAATGCGGTCACTCCCTGACATCAGGCCGTTGGTTGGGGATTTAACCATCAAACGTGTTGATTTAAACAGCCAAAAAAAAGGGATTTGATCATGAACAATTGGATTTAGTCATGAAATATGATGATTTAACATTGAAAAAATGGTATTCTAGGAAACCCATAGAAACCCTGGTTTTTGAATGTTCCCTCCAGTTGATTCTGGGATGGTGGGCGATTTCAAGGCACCCCGCATTTGACTGATTCCCAAATTCGCAAATAAGTTGATTTTGGGCTGACTTCCCTTTAAAAAATCGTCCATGGTTCCGGGGGTATGAACCAATGATGATGGGGATCTTCACTTGTCACTCAGGGCATCCCAGAAAAAAAAAGACCATATCTGAAACCACAAACCACATATCAAATCAAAATCAGATACAATAGTGGCTAATATCATTTACCAGCCATGAAAAAAGTAATATAACGACCAAGATAGTGGCCATATCATATAAGGTTAACAATCGAGTCAATAGCCACTGGCTGGTCCGTTTCTTGGGCTCGATCATGCACCAGTGAATAGGTGTTTCGGGTGGTTTTTTTTAATCCTATTGGATCATCACAATATCCAATAACATCATTATACATCATTATACATCATTAACAGGGGTCATTAAATGTCCCCATTGAACATCACCCAACCATTAGGTATATGGTCTATAATGGCTACTATAAGGTGATGTCCAATATACCCAAAATGGGACACTTACCAACCCCTGATTAATATAAAGCCATATCATATAAACATCAACATCCCATATTTTTAGCCATCCCATAACCCATACATATATCATATATATATATATATATATTAGAAGTCATATTTTTAGCCATCCCATCAACATCATATAAACTCCATATAAAGCCGGGATCATGACCCCGCGGATCCACGGAAAGCCGGGAAATTCAGGAGTCAAAGATTCCGATTCGCACCAGGGCTTTTAGGCACAATCCATACTTGGATGTGCATCATTGTGCGTCCCAGTTCCCAAGTGGCTTATACACTGGATTATATATATATATACATATATATATATATGATATATGTGTATAAATATAAGACATACATATATATATGTGCACATACATATACATTACATAATTTTGAGTGATTCACTAACCTGGAAAGTTCGGACATGTTTTGGGTTATATATATACATATAGAATCATCCTGGAGTAGATAGAATATGGAAAGCACAAATCATACGTCACAACAACGGGAACATGTTGGAATTGGAACATCCCATATTCTATCTACTTCAGAATGATTATGAATATATGTATAATTAATATTATATATAATAATTATATATAATTAATGTACAACATCATTGCTGCCTTGAATCTGTTCATCTACAGAAATTATATAGAGGTTTCCGAAAATCCGAAAATAGGCCCAGATCATCCATATAGGATGTTTAATTTTGACAAAACTCCAGCTATTGGGGTACCATAGCTATAGGGAACCCCCCCATACGGGTAGCCTGCGGTTCAAAGGTGTGTTCCAAGCTCCCCAAGGATGTGAGGTCGGCTAGGGCAGCCTTAGGCAACCACCAAAGTGGTGACGGTTTTTTTTTCACTTGGCCTGGTGTGCTTTTAGTATGGCCTGGTCGTATGACTGTCATGTCGGTGTTTTTTATTCAGTTCTTAGTCATAGTATGGAACGTAGTTCTTTATGTTTTGACGGTTTTAACCATTTTTAACCAGTATTTTTTGGGTTTTGAGTTTTGAATATAATCAGATGGGGTATCTGATCAGATTGGTACGTTTTAGGAATTTTCCATCCTCACATGGCGATCAAATATCCGTTTAAGCCTTGCCCAAGTAGATACATAGTATGTTTTCGTGGTAGTTCATGGCGCTGAGACATTTGATATTGGTTGGTGCGTGGCCTTGCCACCAAAAAGATTGACAAAGACACACATATATTTCGAACCATCAGAAGACGTTGGTGATACATAGCCTCTCGCCACACTGGCACCAAGGCAAGAATTGCGATATATAACATTATATAACCATTGGCACAGCAACCCACTTCACAAGTTTTATCTTCCATACAGTACAGTAGTTACTTGAAACAAGCACACATAGAATCATAGAAGTGAAAAGGCCATCAACCCTGTCATCTTGACAAGTTCACTTCTTTGGGAAAACGATGGAACTTTAGGCCCGAAGTGATGAAATAAAGCCAACAGCACTGCGTCCTGCTTTGGCAGCCACGCCATCTTCTTCAACAAAGCCCCTGGCACAGCAGCTGTGGCAATGGTGCAGATGCCAGAGATATGACGGCATTTGGGGAACATCCCAAAAAATGATGCAAATTTCATTGCCTGGTCCAGTGCTTGAAGGTAAAACAGCCGTTTGAAAATTTCCCAAGCTTCAGACACCTTCAAAAAACCAACTCCTTCCAGAACCAAGCTTGAGAGTTACTTGGGTGGAGTCCCAAAAAATATAGGGAATGTATATTGGGATATTTAGGCAAAACATCAGGATTCTGGCACCGCCTGGGAACCACAATTTGGTACCCAAGAAATCCCAACTTGAGGTATAGCAAATACCAAACTGCGGACCCATACCTACTATCTACTTGGTGGTTTCAACCCATCCATTGAATAAACCCTGGTGGATGGATTAGGGGTTACTCCAATAGAGTGAGTTCATCTGCCTCTCAAATGATACCCTCCATGATCAACAGCCCAGGGGCTTTAGCGAAATCCGGGGTTCACATTATTGATGATCAACTATATACTACTGTATTAAGATTGGTACCCTGTATCACCCATATAAAAGTAGTTTATCACCTATAAGCATAGTTTATCAGATCACCAATATCTTTTAATCTGGTGGGGGGGGCATAGTGAATAAACTGCTACTATCAATTCTGTATATAACAATTTCAATGATCAAGGGTCTTCCTATGTGATAAACCTTGATAAACTACTATCAACAGCATATAGACTATATATACATATAATATATATGTATATAATATCTATAACTACCATTGGTTTTTTCACCTCACGTTTATCACCCAAAAGGGTCGCTCTCGGCCTACCACCTGCACGTCGTTCAGGAGGCTCCCAGAGCAGCCATGTGCCTGGCATCAACAGATCAGGGGGCAAAGCCTCAAAATCTATCGTCATGGCAGCCATGCTACCCCCAGTCATCATCTGTCATCCAACAAAAACGCTGAGAAAATGTGGCTATAAAAGAGCTAAAGCAGCTAAAATCCTGAGACGTGACCCACAAAAAGCTGGAAATCATGAACGATTGAAGTCCTTCATCAGATTTGAAATATATATATATATATATAGTTACCTTCAATTTGGGTCAGCGATGTTATTGATATTCTGTTTTTATTTCTTGGTTACGTCACTGATTTTGATTGGCGCCGTCCCCATGTTTTTAGAACATATGTAGGGTTTATGATTAGGGAGCACGGATTAGACCCCTATGGATGTTTGGACATACCCCAATTTTTGTTGTTTCTGTTATCATGCCCATGAGATTCTATTAGTATAATGTCAACCCCAGATTAATAAACCCTGGTTGATTAATTGTGGTGGTTCCCCCAAATAGTGATAAATGGCTATTGAAATGGTACCCCTTCAATTAAACAGCCTAGAGTCTTAGAGGTTTATTTATCCGGGCTTGGCATTACCAAGTTTCTAATAGGTCAATTTCTCCAATTTTTTCCAAATGTTGCTAGGTCACACCCCACCATCAGCTGCATCCCCACCTGCGTCATGAAACTTTGTATTATGAACTCCTCTGCGGCCTGCCCGAGATTTCTGGAGATTTCTGTCCCGACATCTCTGCTGGTTGATGTTCAGATACCCGGCCTGGTTATGTCAAAATAGCATCAAATAGCTATTGAAAATGGCCATTGAAATAGTGGATTTACCCATAAAAATGGTGATTTTCCATAGTTTTTTGTATGTTTACCAGAGGGTAGAATCAACTGGAACCAACTGGACGTGATCAATTGGAAAAAAAACAAAAAAGCTGGCCCAATTCTGGCTCCGACCTCTTGAAGCCACGGCGGAGGGGCGTGAAATCGACCTGTTACTTTCTTGTGAAGCATCATCTGATGGGGACGGGTTTTTAGATATCAATGAAGAAACAAGCACTTGTCCTGGGACTGTTTTAAGACAAACATTGATATGGTATTAAGACCCAGATATAAATGATGTCAATGGTTTTAAGATGTTTTATGTCATCGCAATTTGGGCCAAACATTTCTTGTGAACATCGGACAACGACCCTTTGGTGAAGCAGCTAAAAGAGACACAAATTGCCAGAAAACACTGATCTCCAGCGGCTCCATCTTCAGGAAAACCCCACAAAATCATGGGAAAATCCATGGGTTTTCGGTCAAGATTTCCCCTGAAAAATCAATCCAAAGAGACCAAAGAGATTGAAGATTTTTCCCGGTTTCCATTGATCGTAAGTAGACATTGTTGCAGAATAGAGTAGCATGGGAGGACGGCCATTCACCATATCAGCAGAGTCGAAAAAACCTGGATACGAACTGAGTATATGCTGAGTTCGTTTATGGCTATTCCAACTAGTGATATCGGTTGGTTATCGTCCCTTATCGTTAGAGTGGTTGCACATATATAATCATATATATATATATTTATAGATTAGTTAATGACTAATAATTAACATTAATTAACTAGATAACAAATAGATTGACTTTATATAATCAATATATTGATTCTAGCCAAACCCAATTAATTAACAACACCGATGGGCTCACATTGCCACCGCTGAGGTCGTCCACGTTGCAGCTCCGCAGGGAGGACGAAGAGGGCACGGTGCATGGCCCTCCGGAGCTTCCAGGCTTCGGCAGCGGCCAAAATGGATAGAATGGATAGGTCAAGTCTGGAAACACACATTCTGATTAATGGAAAAGTATGGAAAATCATGTGTGTAACTAATACTTTTCTGAACACATTCATGAATCAATGATAGGTCAACTTTTCTGATTCATGGAAAAGTGTTCAGAAAAGTATGGAGCCGATGTCATGTAACCAAGGACTGTTTTTTAAAGTTCTATTGCATTTCACCAGAAATCAATGGAATCAGTGATGTAGGAATGGCCAACAACACCATCATGGGTTTGTACATGGTTTTGGGGTTCTAGAACAAGCTTAAACTGGGAATGTATAATTCAGTCACTCAACAAATGCAATCTTTCACCAGCTGCAGGTGGTAAATGATGAATCAGAGCTGGGAAGGTCACAAAAAAGGGGGTTTTAACCAACATACAGGCGGCTTCTCTATTCTAGATGGTCATGTGTTGAAGGGCCGGGAATCCACAGCAGGGTCCCTAGATGTCTCTAGATTCTCTAGATTCACAACTTTTGATCCAAGAAATCGGCAACCCCCAGCGATCCCAAGTTACCACGGGTGAGCATCTCCACCGATGAAAAACCGATGAGTGTGGAGGAACGAACCAGTGGAACGAACTACAGTGGAACCAATGTAAAAAAATAGCACGAGATTTTACCATAGCAACATACCCATGACGGATCCATGGTGCTGGTATATTAATGCTAACATAAAGGGGGTATATTGATGGCAAATGTTACCATATATAGCATACATGGATCCTATGGGATACAGCAAAGAACGTCCCTCAAAAATAGTGCACATCATGGAAACAAACCCTTCGGGGAAACTCCATGAAACTACACCAGATGTGGCAAGTCCCCGTTTTCCACGACACAACCATCAAAGAAATGAGTTTTTTCCCCTTCCAAACTTGCTACAGGCACTGGGTTTTGAACATCGCTCATATTTTTGATGATGGCCATACTCTGCATGTTAAATCCTCATTTTTAGGACAATTCCAAATTATGGATGGTGGTATGTGTAAACACAACACATATATGGTACCCATATACATTCTCAAGGCTGGTGCATACAAACTTCGAAAAACATAGTTCTGAGTTACAGTATGTATATTTAATTATATATAACTATAATATATAATATAATGTAATATAATGTATATATATATAACTATTATATAAATAACTATTATATATGTATACATATATATATAACTATTATATATATATATAACCATTATATGTATATATATAACTATTATATGTATATATATATATAACTATTATATAGTATATAATTATAGATATACACACATATATCGGTGTATCTCCATTCGTCCCGCTTGGTTTATCTCCCTGTCTGGTAAAATCATGTAAAATCTAAGGCTCTGGCGGATGGTAGTACATCATCTTCGCCACGCGCTTCTCGACAAAGCCTGGCCCAGCTGAAAACGGGCATGGCGGAGCTTTAAAGAGCACAGGTGTGGGTTGACAAATCAATCAACCATTAGTTGATGGTAAAGAACACATTAGACCATTGGTTGATGATAAGAAGAATTGCCCTCTTGGTTGATGGCAAACAACACCTCGCAAAATTGATGGTCTATGGGAAAATCTAGAGGAACAAGGGGCTCTCCTGCAACATTTCTCTCAAACATTAGACATCAAGATCTGGGGGTCGAAATGGAGCAAGTGGGTAAAGTATGATTCTTGATCGAAACTCACAAGATATCAGAATCAATAGTTTCGTTTCGGATCGTTTCGGTATTTCTCCACATTGACACATGCACCCCAATATCACCAGAACTGTTCCCGATTTTTTGGTAGATGTATATTATTGTAAACATACTCATGAACACAACTTGTATAGAATTCATGAAAAAATAAAATGAAAACAGGACAAATTCTGCGTAGATTGTAGCAATGAACCAACCTGGAAAAAAGGTCATTGAGGATGTTATCCCTATCCAAATCGTCACTTACAGTAACGTCGTAGTGAGCTCGTCAAATGAATTTATCTATATCCATGTATATATATATATATACACATATCATTTATCCAGGATTTATCCATATATATATACACATATATATATACATATCATTTATCCATATATATATATATACACATATATATATATATACACAAATATCATTTATCTATATATATATACTGATTGTCCTATGTTTCATGGTTAACTTCCCCATTTTTCTTGGGTAATCGATTGCCAATCCATTGCCAATCGGTTGATCCATTGATCCCGGCCTTGCCATTGCTGCCAATGCACCTTGCCATGGCGATGCTGGAACCAATCCCCTTCGGGGTCATATGGAGGTGTCTTAAAAATGGATCCCCCAAGTCACCATATAATCCATTGCGTTATCTGATATATATTGATATATGATATTTGGATATATTTGGATGATTTGGGGGCACCAACAATTATTTGGAAACCTCCATATGGGGTCCTATAGGAATATATTGTGGTTTTGGAATTCTGGGCTTGTGATTTCATAAGCAATGGATCATCACCAAACAGTGATCTTGGTAAATCAAAACAATTCACGAACCTGAAATAAGGCTCTGCTGGGATAATTCCCCTTACTAACCATGATTCCAGGGTTCGGTGGCAGTGAGGTCGCCATAATTTACTCTTTACTCATGGATCATCACCAAGGCGACAAGCTGCGAATTGTTGCGCCAGGGCGCTGTGGTTGGATCCACATTGACATCTCTGCCGCTCAGCAGAAGAAGTCTCGGCACTCCTAAGGGCCGAGAAGAGCCGTTGAGAGGGTCGAGTTGTTGGGGCCGTGTTCACCAACAGGTGGTCACTCCATTTCGACACCCCAGTCATGGGACAGTATCTTACTTCAAAATGATGGTCATATCGGGTTTCAGTTGGAAATGACTGAGACCCATTCCAAACCATACAAATCCTCAGAACAAACATATATATATATAATTAAATATGATTATTCTATATATATATATAATTATATGTATATATATAATTATTCTATATATATATAATTCTATATATATACAATTCTACATATATATAATTCTATACATATATATATAATTCTATATATATATATATACATATAATTATATATATAATTATATAATATTATATAATTCTACATATATATAATTCTACATATATATATATATAATTCTATATATACATATAATTATATATATAATTATATATAATTATATAATATTATATATATATATATTATGCGAAACTATTAAAAAAACAACACTCTCTCTCCCTCTGATCACCCAAGAGTTGGACCCATCAAAAAACAGTCAGACTGAAGCTAGCCTCTAAGCCTAAGCCTCGCCATCTACAGTTGGAATCTCAACCATCAAGCATGAAAATGCTGTCCCCCTCTGAGGGATGCTCGAAAGTAGAGCCCATCAAAGTCATCATCGGGGTCCTGAAACATGGCTGGCTGGTGGATTTTTCAGCTGGCTGGTGGATTTTGAAACCACCAGCCAAATCCAAAACATGAAATGCCCAGTTTGGTTGAGTTCCAACAACTGTTTGGAGGGACCGGCGTGTGTTTTCTTTGTTCTAGGCTTGGCACAAATATGCAAGGAACTAAAAACTCCGGCACCATCTCCTGTATAGATATGTGTATCTGTATTATATATATATATTCTAATAAGTCACAATGCGTGCTGTGCTGGAGATCTATATGTAGATAAAAACTTCTACTAAAATGGTGATGTTCCATTGCTAAAGTTCCAGTGGGAAACATGCCCCCTTGTGACTCGATACAAGGTCCCAGGTCCATTTATTACATCAGTCATATTCCATGAATCCTTGGTCATTTTTTGTTAGTTGTGCGAGCATTTTTGGTTGCCTTACAACCAATTATGGTGATGTGGAACATATGTTTTTCCCATTGGATTTCTATTAGCCATAGGTTTTCCATTGGTTGTTCGACTGGTTTTCCAATTTCTTCGCAGATTTCTCCAGTTTTCCCATCCTCTTCGGTGTGTCACTACCATCCAAAAAACTCTCAGGTTCCCCCGCTGTTGGTGCCACGGTGGCACTGCTCATCGCCAGGGGCCATCTGAAGGCGGCCGGTGGGGCAGATGGATGTCTCTGAACATGGGATGAAGCGTGTGAAACATGGGACATGATTTTTTAATAAGGGTCCAATTTGCCATGTTTGGGTCATGAGATGGATGAATTTTCCATGTAATTATATAACTGGATCTATGCTCTGATTTAGCGACTAAGTCAATTTTGATGGGACATGATAATCATCGGGATATTAGAGTTCATGGGATATACGAACCAAGAACATGATAGTTGGATGTCTCTGAAAATAGGGCTTACCCCCAATGATGATTGACCGGTGGAAATGGGGGATCCATTTTCCGACCCCCAAATCATTCAGGTCATTGGACCAGTGTAGTACCCTCTGGTTATGTCAAAATAGCTATTGAAAATGGCAATTTATAGTGGATTTTCCCATAAAAAATGGTGATTTTCCATAGTTATGTTAAATTACCAGAGGGTATATTGTAGTATTGAAACCTGTTGTTTTGGGGATCACCCATGTTCAGAAAGCCCCGAATGATCCCAAGTGTAAGTGAATGTGTCTGAAAATGGGATTTGCTCCCAGGATAACAATTCTAAGAGGGACAATTATGATAAAACATGGGAAACGGTTGATTTTCTCCATTCGGCATAAATTTAATGGGCGACGCAACCCGGCATGATGATTAACATGTGGATTTAGGGCTACTGTACCCCATTTTCAGACATAAAATGAAACGATGATAACATTGTTTGCATCCAGGCTGAGGATGACAGGGTCCAATTGAATCGAACTGCTCTTGGATTCTCTTGGTGGTCGAAATCTTTTAATCAAACTGTATATATATACATATATATATATACACACGTATATACGTAATTATACGTATGTACGTACGCACGTATCTAGGTATGTATGTAGGTGTGTATGTAGGTATGTATGTATGTACGTACATACGTATCTAGGTATGTACGTACATACGTATCTAGGTATGTATGTAGGTATGTATGTAGGTATGTATGTAGGTATGTATGTAGGTATGTATGTAGGTATGTATGTAGGTATGTATGTATGTATATGTATATGTATATGTATATGTATGTGTATGTGTATATGTATGTGTATGTGTATGTGTATGTGTATGTGTATGTGTATGTGTATGTGTATGCATGCATGTATGTATATATAATTTTATATATTTACATATGGGATTGTATCGGAATGGCGGATGCTGCCCCCATTTTTACGGCCACTATATAGAACAAGCGTATGATCCCACACTGTGACCGCTCAGAAAGTGGCGTCTGAGCAAAGGTCTGCCGGTGCAGTTCCAACCTCAAAATCTGCAGGGGGAGAGAGATGGTGAAGTGAACGACAAGCACTGCTGGGTACCCTCTGGTAAACTAACATACATAGCTATGGAAAATCACCATTTTCAATGGGAAAATCCACTATAAATCACCATTTTCAATAGCTATGTTAAATTACCAGATGGTAAATCAAACGCCTGACCTCGTTTCGTGCTTCAGTTGGAAGTCGTGAAAAGTGGGTAATCAAGTAGACCCGACAAGAAACATCATGGGGCATAGACTGCCATGGGTCAATAAGGATTGCAACAACCAACAACGACTGACTATCATGAGGAACCCGTGAACCCCTATCTCTGTGAAACCAGGATTACTCTATAGTTGTTCATTGCCAGTCTTAGATACACTGCAAGTAAAGAACTGAAATCTTGGCTGGCCAGTATCTTTTTATATGACATTCCTTCGTTTATAGCCCAAACAACCGTCTATCATTGTGTATGGGTGTCTGAAATCTTAGCCTTTCTAATCAACAGAATCCAGTGGTTTATCCTCAGTCATCCTCAATTGAAATCAACATGGTTTTGCTGGAAAAACCTTTTTCAACAACATTAAAAAACCCAAAAAAATCAGGGAATGACACAGTCATTCCAAATGTCTAAAACTTTTATGGGAACAATTAGGTCTCGCTATTTTTTGTCCCCAAAAGTCTCGCAAGTTTCAGACTCAGTGGAGTCAGTGGAACCCAAAAAAATCTGCGAGCCTTGCTGCGTTGCTGCGGCCTGGGGTCTCTAGCAGAGCTCCAAAGCTTTGTGGCATTCCAACGCTACCGGCCTGTCGACCAGGGATTTCTGCAAAGTGACCTCTGGGTGGTTTGCAAAAAACAACGACATCAGAAAAAACACATCATAACTTGAGAGGGGGAACACGAAAGGTAGGTAAGCAAGAAAGGAACCGAAGAAAAAATGAAGGGGAGAGGGGAGGGAAAAATACATAAAGTGGAGTCTGGTAAAAGCGACGCGGCCATTTTCTTTCCAAAAATATGAAGGGGAGTCTGCTAAAAGCGACTGAAAGGCTTCGGCGATGTGGTTGGGGTTGGTGGTGGTTGTGGTGTTGCTGGTGTTGGTGGTGCTGGTGGTGTTGGTGTTGTTGGTGGTGGTAGTGTTTCTGGTGTTGTTAGTGTTGTTAGTGTTGTTAGTGTTGTTGGTGTGGTTGGGTTTGTTGGTGGTGTTGGTGTTGTTGGTCGTGTTGTTGGTGTTGGTATTGTTCGTGTTCGTGTTCGTGTTGTTGTTGTTGTTGATGTTTTTTTGTTGTTGTTATTGTTGTTGTTGTTGTTGTGTGTTGTTGTGTGTGTTGTTGTGTGTTGTTGTGTGTTGTTGTGTGTTGTTGTGTGTTGTTGTGTGTTGTTGTGTGTTGTTGTGTGTTGTTGTGTGTTGTTGTGTGTTGTTGTGTGTGTTGTTGTGTGTTGTTGTTGTGTGTGTGTGTGTTGTTGTGTGTTGGTGTGTTGTGTGTGTTGTTGTGTGTTGTTGTTGTGTGTTGTTGTGTGTGTTGTGTGTGTTGTGTGTGTGTGTGTGTGTTGTGTTGTTGTGTGTTGTGTTGTGTGTTGTTGTGTGTTGTTGTGTGTTGTTGTGTGTTGTTGTGTGTTGTTGTGTGTTGTTGTTGTGTGTTGTTGTGTGTTGTTGTGTGTTGTTGTGTGTTGTTGTGTGTTGTTGTGTGTTGTTGTGTGTTGTTGTGTGTTGTTGTGTGTTGTTGTGTGTTGTTGTGTTGTTGTGTTGTTGTGTGTTGTTGTGTGTTGTTGTGTGTTGTTGTGTGTTGTTGTGTGTTGTTGTGTGTTGTTGTGTGTTGTTGTGTGTGTTGTGGTGTGTTGTGGTGTGTTGTTGTGTGTTGTTTGTGTTGTTGTGTGTGTTGTTGTGTGTTGTTGTGTGTTGTTGTTGTTGTTGTTGTTGCGTTGTTGCGTTGTTGTGTGTTGCGTGTGTTGTTGTGTGTTGTTGTGTGTTGTGGTGTGTTGTTGTTGTTGTGTGTGTGTGTTGTTGTGTGTGGTTGTGTGTGTGTGTTGTTGTGTGTTGTTGTGTGTGTGTTGTGTGTGTTGTGTGTGTGTTGTGTGTTTTGTGTGTTGTGCGTTGTGCGTTGTGCGTTGTGCGTTGTGCATTGTGCGTTGTGCGTTGTGCATTGTGCGTTGTGTGTTGTGTGTTGTTGTTGTTGTTGTCGTCGTTGTTGTTGTTGCTGTTGCTGTTGGTGTTGTTGTTGTGGTTGTTGGTGTTGGTGTTACCCCTGCAGCGTTTTTGCTCGGTTCCGTAGTGGCCGAAAATCGTCAAATCGGTGGTGTTTTCGCGTGTTTTTGCAACTCTCGGAGCAAAAAACACCGTAAATACCGATGTTTTTGGCGGGTCGGAAGCCCAAAACCACAGTATTTACGATGTTTTTTGCCTCTGGTAGTAAAAAGCACGGTATTTACAGTGTTTTTTGGCCAGCACCTAGCAAAAACACTGGTATTTACGGAGGTTTCACCATGTAGCAAAATGTGGTTTCTTGATCCGAAAAGAACAAAAATACTGTAAATTACAATGTTTTGAGTCTGCTCTTAGGGTGCGTGGGAGGTGTGGAGGGGGGGGGGTACTAAAATGACTAGTAATCTCCTGAAGAATCAGGTAACGGGGCTGGCCGCCCTCCCCTTTACTTCGTAAAGTAAAACTCAAGGTAGCCCCTCTGGAGCTACCTTTCGTGATTTACCAATATTTACCCTCTGGTAAATTAACATAGACCCTGGCAGATAGGGGTTGGAAGACTAGTTTCCATTAAAAATTGGTGATTTTCAGGGTCTATGTTAATTTACCAATATTTACCACTCACTATATAATGGACATATGTTTGATTCTTTAAATCGAATATCTGGATAAAGCACCAATGGATTGTTTTAATCCAATTCTACAAGTCACATTGGGATGGCTTCCCTATGTGTCACACAATATTTACTGGTCAGGTGAGGTGCGGTTGCTACAGTTTACCCAGTATATTTGGTGAGTAATTCCTATGAATATCGTATATCCAATGGATGTCGATCCACACATTGTGGCTTCGTATAAATGCATTTTGTTTCAGGAGCTCACATTTTCTTGAGTACACACCAGCTATAGTTATAGTAAGTCCTTGGTAGTCAGTGTATCCACTGTGATTCACAAGGAGTACCGCTTACCATGAAATCTACCGAGCTGGCCACATCCATGACATCTGTGGCACGATTTCCATGGCATGTCAACCAGAGCCACAATGAGGCCAGCCTCATCCCGAGTCAAGGAATGGAGACTTGTTCCACCACCAACTACCTTTGATTTGTATATCTGTATTACATATACATATATGTATTTTATATTAATTTATATTATATCATATTGATTTATATTGTGTATGTTCCAGTGTAGACATCCCCAACATTGCCAGGTTCAAACACATCCCTGCAACGAGACTTGGCACACCTCCTGCGCCAGAAGTCCCCCAGGTTTCATTAAGGCCTCAGTGGATCTTGGCGTTCGCAGGACATCGCGGGGGCCATAGGTTCAACATTTCAACCACGTGACCAACAATAGTTTGTTGACGTTCTTGATTATTTACTTTATCATATATAACAAAAAAAGGGTGTCCTTGGTTGAAACCGAATCATATTGAATAATTAGTCAGTCAAACATAGATTTTGTTTGCTTGATTCATCTTTACCCTCTGGTAATTTAACATAGCTATTGAAAATGGCCATTGAAATAGTGAGTTTTCCCATGAAAACTGGTGGATCTTTCCATAGTTTTTTGTAAACGTTTACCAGAGGGTATCTTTACATAAACTGATCGATGGTGAAAAGGTCGACCACTCCGAGGTCAGATCGTTCTTCCGGGTCTAAGGTCTAAACCCGAAGCTGCCTGGAGCTGTCATAGGATGAAGCATATCGCTGTGGTAACACGTTAAACATCATTAATATGACATAATATATATATATAACATATTGCATATAACATATAACATATATACCCCTTGGTTGCTCCTAGGGGGGGTCCAGCCCCTGAAATAGTAGACCCCAGTGGCTGTTTTCCAGAGGGGCCTGACCCCCCCATACCCCTTTTGAGCATTTCTGAATGGATAAAATCTAGGGGTCCAAGTCTAGCATTCGTAAACCAAACATTTTTGCTAACACTCAACTTGGACAAGGGAACCAATACTTTGGAGCATTTTGGACGTTCAAAAATGATCAAAGGTCAGGCCCCTCAAAATATTTTGGGCATGTTGTGAATATTTAGGACATACATGTTTTATCTGTGAATCTTATGAAACCATGGACCTCCTGGATTTTAGCCATCGATTTTTTCTGCATGCCTCAGATAAGCTGGCCACTTTGAAAGGTTTTCAACGGAGATAAAGTTGATAAACATGTCATAACTATCTTCCCAAGAACACAATTTCTGCGCACCTTTAACGCCAGTTTTCTTAGAGAGATTCATCTATCAAGGTTAGCGGGTACAGATGTTATTTTCAGGCTTCCCCTCCAAGTTTCAAGAGCAAAGATTGGACAAGGCGAGGTGTTGGTTTCCAGGATTTGGTAGCCTTTATTGGAATCAATTTCAGTGTGCCCTTGATGTGCAGGAGACTTTGTTCTGGATTTACTTTTAACAAATATGATAAAGGTAAACATTTCAGAACTGTCCCAAGTAAATAAACTTAGTGCAAGTTTTTTGACGCCAATTTTGCAGAGAGGTTGATATCTCAAGGTTGGGCACACAGGTTTTATTTGCTGGAACTGAAGATGGACAGGGTGAGATGCTGGTATCCAGGATTTGGTTGCGTGCTTTTTGAGATCAATTTCAATATTTGTCCTTGATGTGAAAGTTCAACAAAAAATGACGTTCAAAAGAGATAATATTGACAGGGTTTCCGTGGCGCGAAAGCTGATAAACATGCCACACGTTTCCCAAGAAAAAAAATGTGCACCTTTGGTTGATGCCTGTTTTGCAGAGGGGTTCATCTATCAAGGTTGGGGACATGGATTTTACTTCTTCTTGGTTTTTTTCCTTCAAGCTTCGCCCCGCTAGGTCGAAGCAGCTATCCGGGAACAGAAGAAGCACAGGATTTGGCAGCCTTTTTGTTTGGGTCAAATTCAATATGTTCATCTCAAAGTTCAAAAACAATAAAGTTTCAAGGTGAGGAAATTTGTAACGGTGAGCTTGATAAACATGCCAGCAATGCTCAACACAATAAATTTCATGCACCTTTGTTACAGTTTGATGCCAGTTTTGCAGTGGAATTCATCAATCAAGGTTGTTTTTTTTCCCCTTTCCAATCCAAGGTGTAGGTTGGACCTAAACTGAAGGGGGCTGGCATCTGAAAATAAAATAGATACCAAGCCTCAAGTAAGATAAAAATAAAATTCAAAGGCCCAACCTTCATAACATCAAAAGGCCTAACCTCAAGTTGGGATCAGATAAAATCCAAGGGTCTCGCCCCTCTTGAATCCTCTTTGGAATCGAATGCCCTTGAGGGGCCCTGGGGGGGCCCCGGGGGGGTCGGAGCCCTTGGAATTTATCTCGCACATAGGGCCACGATAAAATCTAGCAAGTGTGCTGCTAAAATCTGTTCTGCACCTCAGGGGCTGGAGCTCCTAAATCTCGTTGGAACTGCAATCAAAGTAATTAGGTTGGAGCTAAAATCAAGGGGCTGAACCTTTGAAAATATAAGATAGGTACCAAATCTCAAGTAGGATGAAAATAAAATTCAATGAGCCCAACCTTCCAAAGATAAAATCAAGGTGCCTGACCTGAAATTGGAGTGAGATAAAATCCAAGGGGCTGGACCCCCCCCATGGGTCCTCCTTGGAAGCGAGTACCCTTGAGGGGACCTAGGGGGCTCCAGCCTCTTAGAATTTATCTCACACTTATGATCGAGATAAAATCTAGCATGTCTGCAGATAAAATCAAGGGACCTATCGTCATTTTTACTAAGGCTAAAAAAACATAGGCATGCACCCCAGGGGCTGGAGCTCCTAGATCTCAGCTGGGAGCTACCAACGGGTATAACATATAACATAAAACATATAATATAACATCATTAAACATCATTAAACATCATATTGAAATCACCCAACCACTAGTTCTTGGGGGTATCTCTCAGTCACGCCTGTAGAAGCCTCGAACTGCTGGTACTCGGGTGGTGCGCCGGGCTGGTAGCCTGGGAGACGCTGGGAGCAAAAATCCATCGAGAAACAGGAGCTACCCTCTGGTCATACAAAAAGATATTGAAGATGGCCATAGAAATGGTTGATTTATGTTGATTTACTAAGGAAACATATGATTTTTTTTGGTGTTTTTTTGATTTACTAAGGAAACATATGGAAAAATGGTGATTTTCCATATTAGTTAGTTTACCAAAAGGTAACTGTTGAATCATTTGTGATAAGATTTGAAACTCATTTGCTTAACCAATTTCAATTCAGTCAGATTAACCAATTTCGGGCAGTGGGATCGTACATTCACATATTTTATTGACATGTTGAATGATGTTCAACAACGACAACAATAAATTTGATGAACTGATATGAATCGTGGAAAATTTGAGGCACACAAGTGGGACCCTAACACACTCTCACAGAGAAAAAATGTTTTTTAGATCACAAAAGCACAGAGTCACAAAATGGCCCATATATTGGGGTATATATACCCCAAATATTGGGGTATATATACCCCAAATATTGGGGTATAATTGCCTAAAGAGTTACTGTTCTCATTTCAATGCCTAAAAAATGGGGGATCATGATTTTTTCCAAACTGGACCAAATCTTTGACATTGATTTCCAGTGGAAGCAAGGAAAAAATGACCTGTTTGACACACTGTTCTCACAGATCCCATGTAGTGAAGTCCCAATACCATGGGACCAAAATGATACCAGGAAGCTTCGGAATGAAGATGAAAGAACCATCCTGTATTAGCACGGCGTAATTTTTTGAGTATTCCCGAAGACCGCTGTTGGCTTTTTGTTGGTAAAAGGCCTCTTTCTCCAAGCTTGCAGTGGTGCAAAAAGAAAGCACGTTCAAATGACTGAACAGGGACTTGCCCAACTGATTCTGAAGAGTGTTTCAGATTTGAAACATTAGACACAAGTACATTGATCCCAACATTCGATCTGAATAGGGTTAAATGATGTTAGATGATGAATATGTTCTTTCATGTTGAAAATTCTTTGAGACATGTAGAATTTCCACCCCATGGTTTTCCCCCTTCAAACAGAGCATGCTTGACCCGGAGTAGCGATGTATTTTCGTCAAGGTGCCAGGGTTGGTCAAACATGCTGAGGATCACCAGGTCGAACTGCTCGTGGGTGGTGGAAATCCTTTTCTCGGCCATCGAGGGAAAAGCCATAAGCTGCCATAAATGGGGGTACCCCAATATGGATGGTTTATAAATGTTTATACTGGAAAAACCATGAAAAACCGAATAAAAAACTCTGGATGATTTGGGGGTACCCCCCATTTTTTTCGGAACCACCCATGTTTCCATGGCTCAAAGGTCACCCCGAAAATGCCGTGGCATAAAAAAAACTTCCTGGTTTCACCTGCGAATGGTTTTTAACATCGTGCGGTGAAAAGATGTGAAACCAGGGGTTGGTAACTGTCCCATTTTGGGAATATTGGACATCACCTTATAGTAGCCATTATAGACCTTCACCATATACCTAATGGTTGGGTGATGTTCAATGGGGACATTTAATGACCCATGGAAACCCTAAGAGATGATGCACTTTTTCGCGCACTTGAGACATTGCCAGACCATCTTTGTAGACTTTGGACTCAGCGGAATGAGAAAAATGCCACCCTCTGGGTGGCAACATGGCTAGCTGGAACATCTCCCATTTGTTGATCGTCCATGATCTAAACCTCAATTTGGGGATTTTCAACTGCTGAAGACACCATTGCAGGTAGCCCCTCAAGTTGACTGATGGACCGAGCCAGCTGAATGCGTCGTCCATAATCAGCTCAGTCCTGGGATCGTCAGTGGCTATCAAAGAAGTGGGATCAGTTTATGCCAACGTCTCCAAGATTCAAACGGCTGACTGCAACTTCCAAAAGTAGATTACCCTCTGGTAAACCAACATAACTATGGAAAATAACCATGTTTAACGGCCATTTTGACATAACCAGGCCGGGTACATTTCAATTTAGAATTTCTACGTTCTCAGTGGGATCAGCAAAGGCTGAGGTCTGATGGCATCTCTCCTGGGATCCGAAAGGACTTTCGCCTCTGTGGGAAAGTACTTTCGCAGCGCCCGAACCACGGACTCATCCACCTGGCGTGGATCAAGATGTTGTGCGGGCACAATAGTCGAACTGAAGTAAACACATCAACATAGATCCTCCAAGTATCCATGAAAATTGTGGTTTACCTCATATTTTTAGTATTCTTTGGCCCTTTTTGGGTGGTAGTCTAGGAATGGAACATAGCAATCTCGTGACATGAATCCTCTTGTCTTTGATGTTACAGTTCGCTCATTTATTTTTCCGTAAACGTTACAAGTCGTTTTGGCATCACCCTTCCAGGTATTGTTTTCACCACCATTTCTGCTTGTCGTATATTCCTTTGGTTGGTCAAGTTTGGTCATAGTATACTATTAATACATATTAATACTATAGGACTAGGAGAAAACATATGTGTCATGTTGTATCTTTTGAATCTCCGTTCTAATCCTATCTTGGTTCACTTTGTCCAGATTCAACGGGTCCCCAGCAAAAACGATGACCCGACCCCCATGTTTCTGGGCTGCAAACCAATGCTTGAATGTTTGAATCTTGACTCCCATTCAACAAAGAATGGTGATCATATTCAAGAAATAGTTCTTGGATGTTCTTGGTTTGAGTATCACAACTCCCGATCATTTCTGGTGGAAAAAAAAAAGCGAAACAATCCCCCCATTCTTTGCTCATTAAATCCACCATGGAAAAATCCATGTTTAGGATTATATAAATACACTCCAAGAAATCCACCAAATTTTGGTGATGATGTTTGCTCCTTATTAAACCCACACATCTTTGGGGAAACCATGGGAAACCCATCATTTTTGGGGCACCTCCAGCACGACCAGCCGCTCCAGCCCTGGCCACTGCAGCGCCAGCGACGCCAAGGCGCCGGTCCTGGGATGATTTGGGATGATGAAAGCTGGGCAGCAACATGTGTAACATAAGGAGTTATTTGTTTGTAGATAATGCGTGGAACTTATATGCAAACAATCTATAATATATATATATATATATCATATAATTATATATTATAATTATTCAATGATAAGTGTTGATAGTTGTAGTTTAAGAGTTTGAGACTGAATGGATGTGGGCATTTTTTTGGAGAAAACCTGAATTTGCAGCCCTCAGACCTACAGTTCATGGGGGGGATGATCCAATCACCGACGACTTGCAATCTCCAGTCCCGCCGCCAAGAACCAGCACCTCAGAACAGGAGGGTCAGGGTCATGGACCAAACAAACCCAAAATGGTGGGTTGAATTGAACATCCAAAAAAAACTACACTAGTTGACAATAAAAAACAACATAAAGAATATCAAATAATTTCATCCCAAAAAAAAACTGCAAACAGTGAACTAGGATCATGGCAGGATGGAACATAATAAACCATCAAGCTGATAGTCTCATCTGTTCTGTTCCTTTGGAGCACAAGTCACCCTTCCAAGTGTTGACCAACACTCAGATGGCCAAGATGACTCAAAAGCGGGCGCCTTGCATGGAACTTGTCACCTGTCAGAATCTGTGCTGAAACACAACTTTACCATCAAGGGGCATGGACCCCTAAGGCAACAAACTCAGGATCCTTAACCCGCGGTTTCCCCCTTGGGTTACCCCAGCCGAATCCACCCATGGCTTCGGCAGAGCTGAGAGCACACACTGATCTGACATCACCCAAGATGGACAGTGCAGGAAGCATCAAACATTCATCCTGGAGGATCTGGGCACTTCAAACCCTGAACGTAGGACCCGGTGGACCCAAGAACAACCTCTGAAAACAAGGGATGTCCAGCAATTCCATGACCTGCAAAGGGGAGGTTCTACTTCGAACCTCCAGCCTGGGTTTAAACATGGTTAAACTACTCCAATCTGAACCAGCTATCATCTATTTTGACTGTCCTATTTGAGAGCCCAGCGGCTTGGCATAGAGAGCTGGGTCTGGCTCGATTGAAAAACCATCCATCTTAGGGGTCCAAAGTTTGGCCTCACATGTCGGAAGGTGCAACAGCCTAACCCCCATATCTTGGGAATCCGCGCTCGCTGCCACGAATAGGTAGAGAGAATGGTATCCCAGTCTTGATGAAGACCTAAAGATTGCCATTCGACCAATGCCCCCGAGGGCCATATGGGGCAACATGACGTGGGCCGAGGCTCAGATTTTTTTTCAAGCTACAAGTAGGAGAATCATCAGCCCAAATCAAGAAAATCCATGAAGCTTCCCCCCTTCTATTGGTCAAACCCAGCAAAATTCTGCCCTCTGCCGATGCACTCAAACATAAGGTCACATGTTGGCTTTGCAAGATGCACTTTCATATCGGGTCCATTTTCCCAGTTTGGGTTGACCCCAAACTCCTGGGCTGCTAGCTGTAGGAAGTGTCCAATGTAACCTTCACCTCAATCAACATGGCGGGAAACGCTTACTTTGGGGACAATCCCAAAGTTACAGGATTCGGCATCATGACGACCTAGGCACGTGGTCCAAAAACGGATGGTCCTCGATGCTATTGGGGTGAACCAAGTGAAAACTGAGCAAACCAATGGGCTGGTGGTATCCTGGGATCTTGCCACGGCACATTTCTATACATTTCTTGGTTTATGTTTTGCCATTGAGTCTGCCACTCGGTTTCCCTCCTTGCTCTTTTCCTTGAATACTACCTGAACACTGGAGAAAGTCCGAGGCAGAGAACTTCAACGGATGGCAAGTGGAAATGAACCAAAGTGGAAGACTTGCGTCGCCAACAAAATGCTGAATGATTTGTCAGAATGTGATTTGTCAGAATGTGATTTGTCAGAATGTGATTTGTCAGAATGACATGCCTCAAAATCCTGAATGCCTCAAACAACATGTTTTCCGAATGCACGACCAAAAGGGAGTACCCTGACATAGACATGGATGTAGGGCATGGCGTATTATGACATCGTCCTCGTAGATGTCTCTGTGAGGACAAAAAAATAGGGACCGTCGACTTGAACCAAGTTCCTTCTGGAGATGTATTGTTTGTCTTGCGCTTGGGGCTGTGTTGTTTTCATTGCACTTACATATACTATTTTATAATATAGTATATACATCTGATACAATATCATATAAATAATATAAATAATATAATGTATACATCCAATATAATCATTATAATATACTGTAACATAACACAACACAACACAACATAACAAAATGTAATGTAATATAATATAATATAATATAATATGATATGATATGATATGATATAACACGATATAACATAGCATAACATGACATCAAATAACAGAGCATAATATATGATAATATAATATAAAATAATATAATATAACATGCCAGAATATATTATAATATAATATAACATAATATAATATAACACAATATAATATAACATAATATAAGAGCACATACCATAATGTAATACAATATAATAACACATATTATAACATATAACACATTAATTAATCAAACTAAATTATCTATATGATATATAATATAAATCTTTGTGATTCTTGGTGGCTGAAGCTGGTACTACACGTCCAATCTGGAGGTTGCTCTCCCCTACCCAGCTGCAACGCCTTCTCTCGCACTGCTTTTGTGTGGCGCAGGGGTGACAACGGTGGAATTTTGCAGGGCATTCCCTGCGGCAAAATAGGCTGGATGTGGGGACCTCATGATATCAACGTGACAGAGGTTGGAATTGGGGTCAACGAGTTTCGGCTATGTTCGTACCTCAAGGTCGAGCAATGTTGAGGGGCTGGCGGTTGAATGAATTGATCATCATCCAATCTCATCCAATATGTTTGATGCATCCGCGGGTCTATGACATGTATGGGGACAAACGGCAATGTAAAAAACGTGAGACTGAGTGAACCTTTACAATCATTGCAATTTTCTGGCAATGCTCCGGGGAAATTGGTTAACGCTTGAGTGCAAGCTGAAACTTAAGGTCAGCATTTCGTTTACCTGAAAGAAAATGACACTTGAAACACGAGGACAAAGAACAGGCAAAAAGGCGATAAAAGAAAACTTTGAAACATGGGTAGCTTGCGTCGCACTCAAGATACTTGGGAACGTTTGAGCGAAAATGAGCCAACATGAGCCATCCATAGCTAATCTATAGCCAATCTATATGGGTTTGTCTGAAAATAGGGTATATTCCCAATTTTAACGATTTAACAGGGATAATGATCAGCAAAACCATTGGGTTTAGGGGTACACTATTTTCAGACACACCCATATATTCACCATCTATCGTCATCTTTCCCACCCTCTCATGGCACCTCTAATGGCAGGCCCAAAAGCTCCATCCTATGGCGAAGAGTTTTGCGGCGTCAACGATGGTTGCCCGAGCGGGATTTTGTTCGCCGCATTTTTTAGGGACATCGTGGTTGAATGGTTGAAACTAGCAGTAAGATCAAATTGAGTCTTAAAATATAGAACATCTAGATCATTCAAGGATGCTTTTAGCTGCTAAAACAATTCTAGCTTCAAACAATGGGACTTAAACCAAGGACAATATGGATAGCTAGCAACGATCAAACAGGTGGTTCACCACGTTCACCGACGTTCACCGAAGAGGGTTTCACCAACGAAGACTTTGGACCATTGGAATAAAACCTGCAGGCAGCAGGATTCTTACCCTCTGGTAATTTAACATAGCTATTAAAAATGGTCATTTTCCATAGTTATGTTAGTTTACCAGAGGGTATGTCAAACGTCCTTGGTGATGGACAAATAATGAACAAATGCACAAAAAATCGAATCCATCAACTGAGCAGCCATGATGCTGGTGATCCCAGGTGATTCCACCGTTGCCAATGTGGGAAGACCTGAAAACTTCGGCCATGTGGGGATGATTCTCCTTCCACATATATATATATAATATATATATAGACACATAATATTCTAATCATTCCAGTGACGGAAAACCACGTGAGGTCATTTTCTCAATTTCATCCAGATATTCTTATATTATATATTATTATATACAGCCTATACATATATACATATAGCTATTATATATATATAGCTATTATATAAATCCCCAAAACCATTATTATTAACCATTAAAAAACAAAAACTATTCTCCAGCCCCGAGGCTCCAAACACATCTGCTGGGATGGCTGTGAAGAGTGCCATATGCTGCTCAGGACCATCCTCAAGGGGGCCAATGACTTGGATGATTTATAGGTGGTAACACCATTTTAGGAAACCTCCATATGATGATATATGCACCATAAACCCTAGTGAAATTGGAGTTCTAAAAAGTTATAAACTATAAACCAACTTAGCTCAGGAATTGGTGCACCACTGAAACGGACCAGTCATTTCGAGTAAATGCCAGTGAAGCATTCAGTCTGTAAACACCCAAGATTGACTACCCGATGACCTTGCTGGAGCTTGGGTATAATTACGTAATCTTAGCTGCCTTAGCTCCTGTTTGCTGGTACATAATCCAGGATATCGAATCAAATCATCTCCACGCGTGGCTTATTTATTTGTCGCTTCGCCTAGATCCACTGTGAAAAATCATCCCCTGATACTATTATACATTCTGGAGGGTTTTTTTAGCCCCATATTCAACCACACCAAATATGCCTTATTTATATATATAATACTGGTCAAACATCCTTATCGTTGATGGGTTGTTTTCTCAGAAATGGCTGCTGAAAATTCCCAGGAAGATCCACAGGGTCATCCTACGAACATGGGGTGGACAATTGGATCGTGTCCATCTTTTCTGGGGGCGTTTGTGGTTACTGTTACTGCGAACAACACCATGAAACTAAGAATTGACTAGCACTTCAACCTGCACACTCAGCAGCCTTTCAGCTATCCAGCTATGATATGGTTCAAAATCCTGGGATTCTGGTGAACACCAAAAACAGCAATTGGTAAATGGGCATTCATCCTCCCACAACAGCAAAGTAGTAGTAGGTTTGGACCAATCCCCAAAACTGTTCAGCTTAGCATCTGCAGATGGGCTCCCACGGCTCCACAACTGGGGCTCCGAACATAGTATTGCACTGGGATCTTCTGCCTGGCAACATCCAAGTGCTGTGAAAAATGCTGTGAACCCCCTGGTTTTGGTATGGCTTTGTCAAGAATTCGTGGATTAACCGCGGATTTACTGTATGGCTATCTCAATCGGGAAATCTGGGGGTATCCTGTTTTCAAAGAACCACAATGAAGCCAACAAGGGAATTCTTGGTATTCTTGGTATACGTTGTTTGTTCTATTTCGGTGCTGCTGCCCAGTGCTTCCTTGGAGTTCGGGGGATTTGACTGAACAGACCTGACTGAAGATGGTGACTGAAATGATTGACCCCTCGAACATTGGATGGTTTGAGAACTTTCTATTATATTTCATAGTTAGAACATGTTAGAACATTGGACGCTACTATAATGTTAAAAGATGAAAAATGGGTGGTGTTATCATATGTTATAATGATCCATACACCCTTGTAGAAAATAACGTATATCCGCTGGAAATGAACCCTCCCAAGTTTCAGATATTGTGCAAGAGAAATGGTTTGCCATCATTGCCATCAAACACGGAGGCACCCACAAATTCCATGGGTTGTTTGACCAAAAATACCACCAGCATCAAAATATACCCTCTGGTAAACTGCCACATAACTATGGAAAGATCCACCATTTTCAATGGGAAAATCCACTATTTCTATGGTCATTTTCAATAGCTATGTTAGTCATAACCAGAGGGTAGGAATCCATATCATCCCCGTTTCTTGATTTGTTCTGTTGCCTGACCGTGGTTCCTTGTTTTACCACACCAAAAAAATCGTCCCAAAATCGGGGCCTTGTCCAGCTCTCCCAGTTGACATTGAGAGGTTGGAGGGTGGCATCCATGCCTCAGGCAGGCCCTAGTTATAGAAATTTATTGGTTTGAAGCCCCAGGCCACCAAAATGACTATCAATTTGTATCTAAAATATTTCAACGTAAAGTGACTATGTTATATCTATGCCAAAGTATATGGATTATATTGATCCTCACATTGATATGATGAGTATCTAGATAATTAGCACATGATGGTCCTATCAATGACTATGTGTACACATATATCTATATATATGCTTATATATTATTATATATATATATATATTATATATATTATATTATATATATATTATATATTATATATATATTATATATTATATATATTATATATATATATTATATATTAAATATTATATATTATATATATATTATATATTAAATATTATATATTATATATTATATATTATATATTATATATTATATATAATATATTATATATTCTATATTATATATTATATATTATATATTATATATTATATATAATATATTATATATTATATATTATATATTATATATAATATATTATATATTATATATTATATATTATATATTATATATTATATATTATCTATTATATATTATCTATTATATATTATCTATTATATATTATCTATTATATATTATATATTATATTTTATATATTATATATTATATATTATATTTTATATATTGTTTATTATATATTATATATTATATATATATTATTATTATTATTGTTGTTATTATTATTATATTATATTATATATATATTATTATATATATATTACATATATATATATATATTATAATATATATATACATTTAGTACTGACTGCTAAGATGATTTGTGTGTGTGTGCCTCAAAACGTCTTTTTAAACCTCGCAAAAGAACATATTTAGATCATCTGCGGAAGGGACAACGATGATCAACCATCCAAATAGCCATCAGAAACATCGAGAGCAGCAACCAGCTCCTTACAATAATGCAAGCCACATTCTTCGGAAACGTGAAAGTCAGGAAAATGGAAACTCTTGTATTTCTGTGTTTCAGGAGTATTGACAAGCTATGTCCGGAGGGAACAATTAATTACGCTAGGGACATTGGGACATGGCGACAGTTCTCATGTTATTTCCCACAGCGAGATGGTAAACCCAATCATGAAGCCTCCCGGTAATCATTTGGGGTCATTTTTTGCATCCGCTATTTAATGCTATTTAATGCTATTTAATGCTATTTAATGCTATTTAATGCTATTTAATGCTATTTAATGCTATTTAATGCATCATCGGCTATACAAAGTAATAAACTCTACCTGGGGATGGATTCATTCGTCGACGCAGCGTCTCTGAGAAGCCAACTGCTGAGCACCAGAATATAGGGGCCCCTGGCGAAGGCTGGAGCCCGACACAGAGCTTCGGCTGTATAACACAGATCATATGTGGACACAATCCAAGAAAACATGGATATCATAGTAACCCAAAAAAAATATAGAACCGTTAGATTGTTGTAGTGTCGGATTTCACTTTCCTTTTTTCAGGGGGGTAGCTATAAGGCTAAAAACAATCATCAACAGTAAAAGAGTGTACCTACCTGATGTCGTGCACTTTGAGTGCGACGTCCAGCCAACCAGTTAACGTGCTAGTGAGACAAGTAGTCTGGAACAAGCGCATGGATCGGAAAAGCCTCAGCGACCCGCCCAACAAAGGGGTGTGGGAGAACACCTTTGACCCAAGACGCCCACCTGTTTTTCCTACCTGGAACCCCCAACAAGCAGAAATAACCATTGTTATTTTAATGTGTTTCAAGGCCTCAGAAGTCGGAAGTCATAGCTATTTCTGCTTGGAACTGGGGGTCCAGCAAACCGTTCAATTCTCTGAAGTGCCGATTTGACCCACTCTGAACCCTGGCTCATGGTCCAGGGCTTGGTAAATAAATGCTAAATACCACCAATACAAGCAAGTTCAACTGGAAGGAAACATCAAAGCCCAAGTCCCAGTCTTGGAGAAATAATAAATAACAAATCATGATAATAAATAAATAGTATTCATAGAAACAATTCAAATCATCCTACAAGATAATTGCTGATGTTGGGCCAAGATTGAATCCAACAGAACATAACAGAACCAGCTCCATCAGCAGTTCAGGAATATCACCTCCAGCGATTTTTCAAATTGGCGAAACCCCCGAAGTAAATATTAGGCGTTTTTAGCGGGACAGTCATCTTTAAACAGTTACGAGTTGCAAACATCTACCCTCTGGTAAACTGCCACATAACTATGGAAAATCACCATTTTTAATGGGAAAACTCACTATTTCTATGGCCATTTTCAATAGCTATGTTAAATTACCAGAGGGTAGAAGTCTCGAAAGTTGGAACCTCCATGAACCATCCCATGCTTTGAAAGCTATGCCGATTTTCTGTCGGCACCTCATAGCCGTCGCCTTGGATGGTTGAAACCCTATAGAATGAGATAAACCATCTATCAATTGGTGCAGGATTTCTTCCATCCACAGTATATACTGTAAGTCGATCATTTTTCATAACAAAATCATATTGCTGGCTATATCTTAGATATCCCGGCAACTCTCCCTGTAAATTTGGTGCAAAAATCGCTCCCCTTTTTGGCCCCCGGCCGCACCAAAGACACGTTGGTGCTGCCGGAAGAGCTTCTGCAGGTTTTCCGGCGTGGCCATCCTAAACTGTCCGGCACATCGGTTTTTGTATTTCTGGGTTTAGTATTGGGGAGAAGGGGGTATTGAACCTTGAACATACTTAGCGCAAAATGAGTTGAATCATGTTGAATTCTGACTAGATGCGATTCATTTAAGGACATGAGGCACTAATGTGTAGTTGTGATTATAAAATCCTAGGGATTCATCAAGCCCCAGTAATCACAACTTGACATTGACAAGTTTACAGATTCTTCCGGTGACGCCCCGAGCTCCACACGTGCCCACGTTTTGAACCACGATGCCATCCTCGCTCATCAAACCTGGTGACTGGGCTCTATCAACGATGGAGGACCCACAGATGCCACAGAAGTCTTTTCTGATGTAGGGTCTGTTAACTTAAGACTTAGTGATTAATTATAGTATATGTTGGTTGATAATGATAGTTAAATTATAGTTGATAATATACTATAAGATTATAGTGATGTTACTTCTCTGATGATTCTGGTTGATAATTATAGTATTGGTTAATCATGTGATTTTCACTCAATCTGGGAAACCCAATGCCATTATGGTTGGAATCCCGCGCATGACAATGGTGATTTTGGGGATTGCTTGTTATTGGGTTTACCACATTGTTGTCATTATTCTGGTTATGATATATATATATGTATAACTGTGATTAATTTCATTGGTCTTAAAGTTAGTTGTCATTTTAATGTAGGTCAATCATTTTGAGCCACACCAGGGCCATTTTTTGAACAGGGGTTGGCCAATGTGACACCAAGTGAGGGATCCAAAAATGGTGGATTTTTCTATCCGTAATGTGCGATGATATACCCGAAAAAGAAACCTAGATATAACAAGACTATTTGCCAACCGTGGGTGATTTGACAAACCAAAACAGAAAATTACTTTCCTTCGTGTGATCCCCACCATGACATTTATACATTTTCTTACTGGCAAATCTTCTGGCATTCTATCTGCCATATCTTCTGGCATTCTATCTGGCATATCTTCTGGCATATGTTCTGGCATATCTTCTGGCATTCTATCTGGCATATCTTCTGGCATTCTATCTGTCATATCTTCTGGCATTCTATCTGTCATATCTTCTGGCATTTTATCTGGGATATCTTCTGGCATTCTATCTGGCATATGTTCTGGCATATCTTCTGGCATTCTTTCTGGCATTCTATCTGGCATATCTTCTGGCATATCTTATGGCATATCTTCTGGCAAATCTTCTGGCATATCTTCTGGCATTTTATCTGGCATATCTTCTGGCAAATTATCTGGCAAATCTTCTGGGATTCTTTTTGGCATACCTTCTGGCATTCTATCTGGCATATCTTCTGGCATTCTATCTGGTATATCTCATGGCATTCTATCTGGCATATCTTCTGGCATTTTATCTGGCATATCTCATGGCATTTTATCTGGCATATCTTCTGGAATCTGTTCTGGAATATCTTTTTTTTTTTTTCGGGATTCTATCGGCATATCTTCTGGCATTTTATCTGGCATATCTTCTGGCAAATTATCTGGCAAATCTTCTGGGATTCTTTTTGGCATACCTTCTGGCATTCTATCTGGCATATCTTCTGGCATTCTATCTGGTATATCTCATGGCATTCTATCTGGCATATCTTCTGGCATTTTATCTGGCATATCTCATGGCATTTTATCTGGCATATCTTCTGGCATTCCATCTGACATTCTATCTGGCATATCTTCTGGCATTCTATCTGCCCGTTGAGGTCCAGCAGTGCACACTGAGCTGGGAAGGTCCCCGGTCACACTGAGCTGGACAGATCCCAGGTTGAGGTCCAGCGGTGCACACTGGGCTGGGCAGGTCCCAGGTTGATATCCAGCGGTGCACACTGAGCTGAGACGGTCCCTGGTTGAGGTCCAGCGGTGCACACTGACCTGGGAAGGTCCCAGGTTGAGGTCCAGCGGTGCACACTGAGCTGGGCAGGTCCCAGGTTCAGGTCCCAGTGCACACTGGGCTGGGGAAGTCGGCAAAGAGCTTGGCGAAGAGAGTTGGCAAAGAGCTTGGCGAAGAGTTGGCAAGGCGGAAGTGGAGGTGGAAGTTGATGCAGACATGGTCGAGGAGAAACTAGAGGAGGAGGACGAGGAGGAGGAGGACAGCTAGCCGAGGAGGAGGAGGAGGAGGAGGAGAACAACTCTGATAAAATCTAGAAACCGAAGCAGTGCTAGTTAGTACTACACTGTTGTTTCTTAGGGTTCGTAAGTTCACCTCTAGGCTTCCATTTTTTTCACCTGAAAGGATGCCCATGCTGCTGATCATGTACATTGATTTGAATCTAAAATAGGTGTACCCCATTTATCATCCATTTGTATAGGATTTTCCATGAAATAAACCATCCATTTTGGAGTATCCCCATTTATAGAAACTTCCATATTGGTTCTTCACATCCACGGTGAGTCAATGAGACTGTGGATGCTGCCTCGCACTTGGGTGAAGAACTGCTCTGACCAGGCCCTGCACCAAGCACCGATGGAATGTTTGACACCGATCCAAACAACGAAACGTGGCCAGGGCCACGTGGCTATGTCTGAAAATGTGCTACGCCCAAAAATTGCTATTTTAGAGTTGAACATGATCATTATCGATTGGAATTGGGAGTTTAAACCAAAAAAAAACATTGAAAAACCGAAGCCGTATGGTCCGTATGGGTGTTTCTTGCGATTTGGCTAGCCCAAAACAATCGCAAACTCTCGGTTTTTCAAAACGCTCAATAACTTGGATGATTTTGGAATCCTCCCATTTCGACAACCCCCATAAGAGCTCTTCACGATATGATCGATGATTGCTAGTGGATATATTTTTCCCACAGGAGTTCTCTATTGGTTTCATGTCCCCACTAATTCATCAGAGAATTCCCGGTGAATTCCCATCTGCCTTTAATTGGCTAATTCTGATAGATTATAGAACTCAACAAGACCATCATCATTTGCTCATATCTTCAATTTGCATGGCACAAATCACGATTCAGGGAATCATTGGATTTTGTGAAAAAAATATCATGTCCAATAGTGATCCATCCCTTTTTTCAAAAGTCACAGACGGTCACAGCCCAAATCTTCCCCTAAAGCATTGAAGTTTTTGTTAGGCTCCCACATCTTCATCCTAAGTAGAAACCCTGGCTTTCGATTGGCTCTCTCCATGTCTGCCCAGTTTTTCATATGAATTTGTCCAAAAATAGGTTACACCATATTACACCCCTAGAATCTGATGGTTTAAAACCTCGCCGTCCCATATTTTCACCACCAAAACAGCAACTTCTGCGCGGCGAACCCCGCTGACCCCTCAATGGGCTCATCTGTGAAGTCAATAATCACCAAGTCAAAGATCGCACGCGAAGCTTGGACCTCAACGGAGGGGTTGGTTAACCCATGGAAATGGACAAATATGTATATATATATGTATATATATAATATGTTGTATATTCGATGCATATGAATTATATACATGTTGATATATGTACTATTATGTAATCGAAAAACATATGGGTAGTTTTGACCAACAAACACATGGATGATACATGGATTAGCCCAACCGCCGATGTTAGTTGATGATTGCCCGGTTTCGAGTGATGCATGCGAAGTTCTACAAGGTGAAGCCCAGTGATGCTTGCTGGTTTATCACCCCATTAAGTATAGGTGAATTCCCTATGAACCATGGTCAACCTTCTACAAGTATGCAATATCAAATGACAGTTCTGTTGGGATCATCGTTGGTCAGTGCCTGGTGCCTGAAAGATCCGAAAAAATGCGCGCTGCATGTGGCATGTGTGGATTTCACCACCGCCTTGCACACAATATAAAGCCAGCGTCATTCAGCATGAGCACAAAACAATGCACCAGTCCTCTGTAAAAGGTAAGTTCATCCTGTGGCGCTCTGAAGGTGTTTTTCCTCCACGGCTGTCATTCGAAGTAACTTCGTTGCCGAGGCCATTCGTGATCTTTTTGGATATCAAAGAAGGCCTTTTCAAGATACAGCGATGTTACAACGTAGCATCAAGAGCGTCTTGGCAGTTCCTTCAAAAAGATGTTACAACGTAGCATCAAGAGCGGTTTGGAAGTTACTTGACAAGGATGTTACAACATAGCATCAAAAAGCGTATTGGGAGTAAGTTGAAAGACGAGGATGTTACAACGTAGCATCAAAAGTTCAAAGGCGTCTTGGAAGTTACTTGAAAAACCAGGATGTTACAACGTAGCATCAAAGCCTTTTGGAAGTTACTGGACAAAGTTTTGAAAGTTCAGCTACTCGACAAAGTTCAGAAGAATGATCAGGAGAACTCTTTGAAGTAATCAAACGATCAGGAACGATCAGGAACGCAAGGCAGAAGAACATTATTGCCACTCCCCCAAACCCCCCCTCCCGAACCCCCCGCCCCCACAACTCCACCCCTCAAAAACATGACAGGCGTGGCTCAAAATGAGGATAAAATCGGTGTTACAGGGAGGAATGGATCGCCCAGTCCGCGCGTTTACAGGGGACTCGGGGCCAAAACAAAGAGATAAGAACATACTCCATGATATTTCATGTAGATATTGTGTCGCAATAGCATAAACAAATGAACACTCATTGTGCATGGTGGATCAAGATCTCATTCTCCACCCAAAAAAAACTGGTCGTTTTAAGATTTTAAGTACTGTAGTCCAAAATGTGACCTCCGGATTCCATGGATGTCCACAGGATTTTGGGCTTCCATTTGGTAAACACACTTGTCATGCAGTGAACCCACTGAAAGCAACACAGAGTTTGAACAAAAATCAAAGCTAGAGCTAAACAAATCCAAGAAAGGTTCACAAAGGATTTGGACAGGAGTTTCCCCGGATTTTCAAGGATCCAAAATCATTTAGAGAAGACCACATCAAAGAAGCCCTCTTCGCTTATCTAAGATTCCACACCCAGGCAAAAGCATCGGAATGCACCACTTCACAGCGAGGGTCCTTGAAGCCACTGGACACCTTGGGAAACCACCTGGCGATCATCGTTGGTATTGCATCATTGCATCCCCATTATGATTCGTTAATCACCGCACATTTAGTGGTGAAAATCCGTGTTTTTGCTGGTGCAATCTCCAAGTGCTTGATGATAAAATAGGGGGACCCCCCCAAAAAAATGGGGTCCCCATATCAAAGATGGGGAACCCCCATTGCTTTTGGGATGTTTTGGGCCCCTTTACCCTCTTATCTAAGAATTCTAACAGAAATCTAACAGAATAAAGCAGGTGAAAGTGGCCATAAGTGCTATAAGTCATCCATATTCATGGCACATTTTCCATCATTTTCCCACGGAAAAATGGAAGAATTCCCCAGCTTCGTCGCTTCGCCGCTTCGCCTTCCGGCTTCCTCTGACACCTGGGCATCGATGTCCACGTTCACCACCTGGAGCCGTTCATCACTGCGAAAGATGTGGCTCTGCAGAAAAATGTGGTTGATATACATGTACTATATATATAATATATATATATATATCTGGGTAACTTATAATATTTCACTAACCTGAATTAAGGCCATTTGGGGATGATTTCCCTTACTAACTATGATTATAGTGAGGTCGCAGTGAGGTCGTTATAATTTACCCAGATATGATATATGTATATACCCTTGATACATGTATACAAACCCCACTATATGGCCATTGGCAAAGGTGAGGTTTCAAACCATGGAACGGTGTAGCATGTGCCCTACTCTCAGTCACATCCAGAACCAGAGCGGAGGGGTAAACAATGGTATACAGTAATTAATCGGGTAGACAGGCAGTTTCGCCAGCAACATCCAGCAACTGATAGACTACTGGCCTGTTTAATTGAGGTTTTACCAGTTTAGGAGCAATTAACTGTATCACTTTTTGGGTGTAACCCCCCGAACTAATCAAACCCAAATATTTATCAACAATAGCTTCCTTGGATTTGCTGAAGGAACCACCCCAAGAATAAAACATACTCCTCATAAATTCATATAAATTCCGGAGGTAGTGGATCTCCCATTTGGAAAATAACAGTTCAGTTCAGAACTCATCTTCCGCAAATTCAGGCTTCTTGTGCTTCGAATGGGCCTTTTCAACGCTGGCGAACTGCAAGGTGCAGGTGGCAATTCCGCCATCCTTGGTGGTTTTTTTTGATCCGGAAATATCCGGACCTGCAGCCGTCGGCTTAAACGCCCATGGTTGTTCTCTCAAAACATCAATTCATATGGCAATCGAATATAATGGGGTGAAATTCTGTTGCGGATTTTGGGGCTCCACAAAAAAGACATCCCCTGGATTATATGTTATGTGCGCGTATGGTACTTCAAAAGATAAGAAAAAAAGGTGAATTGACAAACAAAAAAATTGTGTCATTTCCACCAAACGCATTCAAGTACAAGATCTGTGGCCAAGTAATTACTGCGAATTGTTTAACCTCTAGATGAAGAGCTCGCAGGTAAACAGCAAAACCAAACATCATCCTTCTAGTATCTCAATTACAGTAAATTAAAGTCCGCCATTCATAGATTATTTTCCCAGGATACGTTTGGTTGGACCCAAAACCACATGGGTTTGTCTGAAAATAGGCCATGAATCATGTTACATCCGAAATGTTGATGCTGTTGATGGTATCCCCAGTTTGGCTGGTTCATCCCCGGTAAAAATCATTAACATCCAACATTCCAATTCCATCTATTTTCACATGATTCAACTGCCAACCATTGGACCATGGTCTTTGTTTCTTCTCTCCCTCCCTCTCTCTCTATATTACATATGCACACATAATTTATCCCTGTGTATATGAATACCAACCGTTTTTGGTTGGTTGAATTCCCTATCTCATATTACATCATCCTTGCACCTCACAAAAGCATCGACACAGCCGGCTTTGAGGAGCGAACGCCGCCACCGAGAATCAGCACTCGTCGCTTCTGTGCATCACCCAACCTCAATGCGTTGCCATGTCTTCCGGTTCATCGTCAGTGATTTGAACATATACAGTATACTCAGTATATGAATGTATATGATTATCAATCAGTTATGTGTAGATATATATTATATATACATATACATACATATACATACTACATACTTATTATACTGAACACAAAAATATGGACAATTGTAGATCTCTACTACTTGTAGATCTAACCCAGTGGTGCGTAATCCAAAAACGCGTTTACCAACTGGGGGCAGATCATCCCTGGCTGGCTGTTTAGCCGACTCTCCCGACCATCCCTGGCTTAAACATGGGTCCAGGAAACTGCTACTGTTGATAGTATACACTGTGGCTGCACTGGCTTAACATGGTTTAACCATGGAAATGGTGCACACAGCATCAAAGGCTCGAAATGCAAAGATTTGGCCGTGATCGATTTCCAATCCATAACTATTGAAAGTCACTGACACCCAATATTGGTGTTCGAATACCAAACATGACCAATGACCAAATTCATCCAAATTCGATCGGTACCACATGTTTGAGCCACATCCGTAAGAAAAAATTAGGGGCCAGTTTGGTATATTCTTTAATTTACTGTCTCTTTGTGTCACTTACCAGCTGGGGGTGCCCCCACCATCAACCAGCGAAGCTTCGTGGCCGCCGGGGCGCAAGTTGAGTGCTGGAAACGTCATAGCCTCGTGGTAATAGCGCCTCAGAGGGGGTGATAGGTAGCCACAGATAGCCTCTTTGTATGGCCCGATAAAAACCAAGTGGGGACCCACAATATGTGGATAAAGGTGGATAGAATTGTTCTCAAACCTGAAAAGTTAACGAACATTTTATGGGATAGATACCCGTTTCTAGGAAAAATGGGGATGGCTTATTCTGGGGCTTTTTATTACAAGGAGAAACCCCCCCTGGACGGAAAGTGTACCTATCTCTTGGCAGGTACAAGCTGACTTTGGGATATTGGAGGGCTACCAAATACATCCAAATACCAAGGTTTCGGCAAGCCCCTTTCTTTTCAATGATACAAGGGTTTCCAAATTCCCGGTATATTTCGTACAAATCAAATGTTCAGTGTACGAAACGGTTGCTTCCTGTGCTTACCCACTGTCAGAATGTTTCGATGCAGGACTAAGACTCCAGCTCGAAAACATCACTGAGCTGTCGAACGTCTCCCAGCCTAGGCGTCGGTGCTGATTTGGTAGTAACACATGGCTGAGTCAAACGAAGCCCCTGAGAGGGGAAAAACATGGAAAAACGGAAACAGATGGAAACAGCTTCAATTCTTACTCCCACATGGACCAACAAATAACGGCAAATCCGGCGCCACGAAGTGTTGCGATTCCTGCGATTCTGCGATTCCATACAAGTGCCAGTCTGCATTGAGGAACGTAACATAAAAATGAACAAACAGTTATAAATAGTATATAATAGTTATATATATATATACGTATATGTATAACATAATGTATAATAGTATATAATAGTTATAATATAATATTCATTCATATGTTCATTGTATACTCAAGGCCTTGAGGAGCTTGCAGCCACCAATTTTTCTTCAGCTAGGTCACACAAGCTCACGACAAACTCGGTCTCCGCAGATGTTCTGCCAGACCTGGGGATGTCTTGGCAGCCCTTGATCCGACACCAACCAACCACATCCAACCACCATTTGATTTCAGCCGCATTCCACGGCCCCACGGCCCCACGGCCCCACTGCTCCAGCCTCTCCCACTTGGTATGGAGAGGTGAAGTTCCACAACCTGCAGTGGTAGCAGTTTCAGTCTGATTATTTGACCATCTCTATGCCTATCCTGGGATTCGCATCACTGATGGAAAAAACTTTCAAAAAACAAACATCCATGAGGATGGGCATGTTGGCCGAACTTCTAGTATATATTTAGCTCATTTCAGCTCCAGTTTTGGACAGTTGCCGGAATCGGTGCCCGATCATTTGCTCCCCGCAGCCCTGCAAGCAGCTGGCGCCCCGGCTGCTTTTGCTTGAAACTGGTGTGGGGAATGACCAACTCCTTGGACGACAAATCGACAAATGCAGGGAACCAAACTGCCACGTTTGGGAACCACAACTTCGAGCATAGATAGGTCATGGCACCCTGTACCCCTGTCGTTCACATCAAAATAACTAGGATTTTAGGACGTTGAACCGCCGCAAACAATTGAATTTAAAGGTATTGATCCCTATAGCCATTTGGCACTAAAAATCTTTGTGGTAATGATAATATGAGCCATTCGCACATCTATTCTGAGGTGGCTTGCGTTCGGCTTCCGATTCCCAACGAGCCAACGAGCCACTTGCCCGACTGAAAGGGTTCATCCACACAGAGTCCCAGAGCCAGGTTGAATTAAAAACTTACATTTTCATGCTCTTCAAAAAACAATCTGAACAGGATAGTGCTGTAACCATATGATGAATGACTTGGACTTCAAATCCACCTTCCAACATTTATCCCCAAGGCACCCACAAAAAAATGTATACATCTCCATGCTTCCTGGATATCTTCAAGCTGGAGCCGAGCGTCAGTAGATCCAGTGAGGACTTTCAGCAAACCATCAAAAGCTGCCTGCAGCGGTTTTCGATCCGACGAGGACCGAAGAAAAAAGGACTGATTCTGATAACTATGATTGTGAGATAATAACTATGTTATATAGTATGTTATAGTAGTTATATGTTATCAGAATCCGTACTATATAACTATGATCATAATTAATGTTGTAATTATGATTTTAATTGTGATTACGATTTTGTGATGACAATGATTATGATTGTGATTGTGAGATGACGATGACCATGACGATGGCGATGACGATGACCATGACGATGGGAACTCCAAGTCCACACCGAAGTAACAGCCCCAAGGCCAAGCCCTGCAAAATGCACCACTGCATGGCCTTTAACGCAGAGAATTCAAAAACACATATAGTGAATGCTTCATGTTTCAGTCGTCAAATTGTCTTGTATTCAACATATTCGCCATATGCATTTTACATAATTTCAGCATATTTTCCAGGTTCAACTATTACCATATTAATTGAACCGTTTCCCATATGTTCACATTCATATTTCACTTGATGACTTGGGTTCCATGTTTTTCCAGGCTGTCCAGCTTTACATGGGGCCTGTGCTGCTTGCCCCATCTTTCCAGCGCTCAGCTTCTCCCTACAAAGCTCCTCGGCCTCCAAACTTCCCCCCCTGGCAATCATCTTTTGTAGGACACTTTAAAGGACTCTATATCTGGCCAACTGATTGATTTCCAATATACATATACAATCACATACACATATATACACATATGATCACATATGTATATGAATGTAACCAGCTTGAAACCCCTACATCGCGACCCAAACATGAGGGTAAAAACAAAACATGAAACACCAACAGACTGTGATGGATTCTGTGTAATCATTCAAAGTCCACCATTTATAGTAGTCATATTACTAGTCACATCCCCAAAAATCCTGATGAACCCAATCAGCCTGTACAAAAACCCCGGCCCCGTCATGACGGCTTGGCCCCTTGAGAGGCTCACTGAGACCCACTCGGCGGACTCCAGGAGAACATGGGCCTCTGCGGATTCGAACACTATCCAGGGCTACCTCCCAATAATATTAACCAGGGATCCGGGGTTTTGTTTGTAAGGTGCAAAAATTAGATCAATGGCATAACAATCAAAGATAGAGATTTAACAATTGGATAATGGATATGGATGGATATGATATATGGGTATATCTGCACACGAAATATATACCATCCAAACGGCATTTGATAGGTACAATGATGAATTTTGATGAATTTTCTGGGCGCTCTATTTTCACACAAAACCACGTGGTAGATCGACCCAGGACCCATGCAGATAAAAATCACCTGCAGCAAGGCCTCAAAATCCAGCCCTGGGGATGGTGCCAATGGATTCAACTTGAGGATGCCATCGATGAAAATCGATTTTTCATTGTCACAAGATTAGTGACAGTGGGGCCCAGTCTGTTCCAAAATGTTCCTGGCAGTGGCAGATTGCAGGATCTGGTCACTTTCAATGTCACCAGATCAGCATTCACCATGTCGCTCCCACCATGTGGCCTCACCATGTCGCGAAAAAAGAGAACCAGTAACTTCAACTCCCAGCTCCTCGGCGATGCGGCCGTATCGTGGGAATGGCTACAGCCGAGTATCTACCTACCCCAACCACTCGATTTTTCTGCCACAGCCAATGTTTCATTGAGAGTTTTCGAAGGCTAGGCCAAGGAACACTGAGCACCACCAGCACACTGGACTTCTCTGTGTCATTGAAGCCCAAGTCCTCCAAATTCCAGGTGAAACTCCTAAAAAAGAGTTGTTTGGGCTCCAGTTTCATCCGCGTTCAGAGAGTTATCCGAAAAACAAAATCAGTTCCACTTGAAGACTTTGAATGTAATTCACCTCGGAATTTTCGGGGTCCTGGAGATGGTGCACAATGGATGACTCAGAATAAAAAAACATCCATTGCGGGTCAATCTTGTTGAACCCTTCTTGGGAGTTTCCATAAATGGTGATACCCCAATAGCTGGATGATTTATGGTTAATCCCAAAATAAACAATGGATGATTTGGGGATACCCCCCATGACTTACGAAACCTCTGCTGCAATTTCCGGCCTGCGCCAGCTGGTCGATCTGCTGGCCTAAGGAATCGGAGGTGTAGCGGGCCTCAGTGCACTTGGGACATGGGGATGGTCATCTCACCATCATTGGGGATTCCTTATGGCTACTACTGTGGGACTATATTAACACCTGGGTATGTCTGAAAATGGGGTATACCCCCAATGAAATAGCCATTTAGTAGGGATAATGATCAGCAAAACCATTGGGTTGATTGGGGTTTAGCCTATTTTCAGACAAACCCACCTTGTTAATGAGGGGATGAGATGGGATGAGATGGGTTGAGATGGGTTGAGATGGGTTGAGATGGCTTGAGGGAGGTGGAATGATTGGAACATGTTGGAACCACGCAACACTTCACCATATCAAACTGCCAGGTTTTTAGGTGCCCGACATTTGCACAGAACTCCAGGAACCCTCGTATCAATGAAATCAATATGCCTCACAGCAAACAATCAGGATTTTTTCTGAGCCATAAGTATAATTAGATTCAGTACAACATAATACACATTCGTTTCTGTGGAATTGGGGTAGCCTGAAATCCAATGCTTCATCATTTCACAAATAAAAGGTGGCACGTTTGGGGTGTTTTTCCCATGGTATATTCCATAGCCATATCCTGCTGCATATCCATTATTCATTGCTTGAATCCCTACCTTTCATTTGGCAGTGTGTCAAAACCTTGTACCCCTACTGTTCACATCAAAATAGCTGGGTTAAAATGGATGTTCATCCCCCTAAAAATTGTATTTTCATAGGTATTGATCCATACCCATTTTTCCTTCGCCCCAACTTGGCTGGTTCATCACCATGAAAATCCCGGATCGCCTCATGGCAGCCCAGTTCGCAGCTAAGTTCGCAGCTGCGTCCAGCACTGCCAGGCCCCCATGCACGGCCCACTGCGTGACGCTGCGTGACGTCCGTTGCTCCAACATGAGTGGCTCAGATTTTTGGGCTACCCTCTGGTTATGACTAACATAGCTATTGAAAATGGCCATTTATAGTGGATTTTCCCATTAAAAATGGTGATTTCCAATAGTTATGTTAGTTTACCAGAGGGTACTCTCATCCACCACACATCTGGGCGCCAAAATGAACAGATCCAACACTAGATCAGGATCTTGCGGGGTAAAAATTGCAGCAAAGACCCGCTAAAACTGCTGATGTCTCTTTGCCATAGAAGCAAAAGCTTGGTGACTTTGTGGCTGAAAAAACCACCAAACGGGATCAAACACAACGAACAAACATGCTGACAAGGACAAACGCTGAATGGTTGGTGCTTTCAATTTAATTATCCCGAAACAAAAATCGAAGCAAAAACATGGGGAATCAAAAGGAAACCATGAAGAACTCGTGATTATGATCACCTCAGCCTTGGGACGACCCAAGGTCCTGAGTCAACACCCTGGTCCCTTTAGGTGAACACTGACTGTGGGATGTTCACCGACCTGTATACCTAACACGTTTCTTACATTTCAGTGGAGTTTTCAAAGTTCAACAAAAAAATGGGCTATTGAATCCTGGTTTTTTCCGGATTACCTCATTCTTTCAAGGAATTTCCAGAGATCGTGAATTGACATCGGCCCCGGCCTGCGACAAATGGGGGCCGCTCATCTTCCGCTGAAAGTCCACCAACAGCTCAACGATTTCATCGCGATCATCCTGGGGAAAACCCTCTGGCGATGAAACATCACTGGAAAATCTTTCCATTTACTTCGATGATTTGCCCAGCTATAAAGCTCCATGTATAGAGGATTTCAAAAATATGGCTCCTATATTTCCCAGGATGTTCACATTGATTATTTATATATATATATATACATATAGGATTTTCCAGCCAGCCATGTTTGATGACACCAGAGTGTACTGCCGCGTTCTGACATTTCCAGCCGTGTCTGGTTCCAGGCCGCTCCAAGGCGAGAAATTTACGCGGCGACCGAATCCCGTGGGATGGAACTGATCTATATACAGTATGTCATATGATAATAGCATTAGTAACAATAGCTGTAGAATAATACTAGCACCAGAATACTGCTAATAATAGTGATAACATGTGATAACATGTGATAACATGTGATAACATGTGATAACATGTGATAACATGTGATAACATGTGATAACAATACTAATAACTATATAATATTATATAATTATAGTCTTAGTCTTTGTTATTATGGTCATTGCACTGCTTAGGAGCCGCAAGTTTGACGAGTAAATGTTGGGCACTTCATACCGGCCAAATAGTACAGCTCCTCAGCCGTGTTGACATTCCATAGCATTCGCCCAGACCTTTCAAATCTGATCATAATCAAACTAATCCGATCCCTCTAATCTTCATTTCCCCCATGTGGGCCCTTAAACAGAAAAGATCCAATACTGAACTAATGTTTCCGGTTGCTTTGAATTATTAAGGGTAAGGGACCGGGAACTGACGTCTGCAAATAGTCCTTGAGGGTGTAACTGGGGTTGCTGTTGGTGCTATCATTGCAGAACAACATGCTAGCATAACATTAATAATATCATGTTATCCTCCATCATACTGTTGTATCCTAAATACCAAATAGATGAATAGTATATACAGTATATATAGGACCGATACATCGTCCCCCAACTAACCTATATGTAGACCCTGAAAATCGCCCGTGCAAAGAGATTCCGTTGATCCTAGTACCATAATTCAACATTAGTTTTTCTTCATTTTTCTTCTATACCACAATATCCCCGTTTTCAAAGGTTTTTTTTTTCTGGCTGAATCGTACTAATTCACAACCCCTTCAAATAGCTGGGATGATGACGGAAACGACGTGAGGTCATGGTCAAATTCATGGGTTCATCCCAGAGGACCACCACCAAGCATCCGAAAAAAGGCTTTGGCCCAAGAGATCCGATGGGTCGTGGAGGATCACACCTCGAGTTGAGCTTTCTGGGATAAAAAATGGAGTTGATCCGTTGCACTTGGTTTTTCTTTGCACTGTCTATGTCAGTGTATGTGTATGTAGAGAGAGAGAGAGAGCAATGCTCTTTAAGACCACAAACATGTAGGGGTAAACTGAGCTGATTCAAGCCGCCAACACCATGGACTCTAACATTTTGTGCTAAAGCCCCTTAGGATCCCTTAGAGTTCTTTTTCATGGGGATAATATCAGATAGTGAGTGGCTATCGTTGATTTGTACTGCCCTCCCAGTATTGCAACCCCCAAAAGAATAGAAACGTAGAATTCTTCCAAACTAGTGATAAAGTACTTTCTATCTTTTTGCAGGATACCACATGTTCCAAAGTTATTTCCGATGTCCACCTGTTGTACAAAGGAACTCGCATATATGGCTGGATTTTGAGTTTATAGGCCGTGTAATGGCAGGGTCTTTGGAATAGTTTTTTTTCCAGCAAACATGGCCAGAAATAAATTGACCATCAAACATTCATTGGAAATCACATATCCATTGAAGACCCTTAGACATGTCCATGAAATATGATTTATCGTGCGTTCAATTTTGGACACCAGGATAATGGCCAATGGTACTTCGAAGTATTTCCAATGTAGATACTCCAACTACTATTTTGATATTCCTATATTTACATAGTTATGTTGAACACCAGTAGTAGTAGTGCTGGAAAGACTTTCAAATAGTACTTCCATCAAAACCCAAAGACAAAACACCAAATTTTCCACGGGATTCTCTGCCAAGCGGCCATAGTGCCCCCGCTCCTTGAGGGCGAAATGGCTTGGTGAAATTAAATCGACATTCCGACTGCTGAGTTTTGAGGTTACCAGTTTTTAAACTGGATTTTGACATGCTTCAAGAAACAGGTTGGCTTTGAATACATCATAGTCAGTGTTGGTTTAGGAGATGGATGAGGTTATTTTCCAAATACTTGTTGGGTTTCTAGTCTCATTTTGGAATGATGCAAGGATTGAATGATGGAGATTGCGGGGAACCCGTTCCAAGACCGTGGAATCTAAAGTTCTTGCGGAAGAACATGGGTAGAGAGAGAGAAGGAGAGAGTTTGCTTATTTTGAAAACAAAAGGACATTAACAAGTACTAGATGATGTTTATTGATGTTTATGGATGTTTATGGATGCTTATGGATGTTTATGGCATAAGAACAATAAGGCCCAAAAGTTCTTATACTTGGAGTGTTTGTGTGTTTTTTTCTGTGTGTCAGAACTTTGCATCTTGGAAGTTGTATTCTGAAGACTGCAAGGACAGCTGGTTTAAACCGTTGGGTCTCATCAAACATCATCAAACCTGAAGAGTTTGTGCAGAATGTTTGAGTTCTGCGTGGTTAATGGAATCATGTTTTTTTAATCAACCACTGATTGGTGGTTTCAACCCCTCTGAAAAATTAGTCAGTTGGGATGAATATGGGAAAATAAAAAATGTTCCAAACCACCAACCAGATTACTTGATATGTCAATGTTAATAATACTTCAATGTAATTACTTTGATCACCCGACTTTACAGATGATCCAAACAAAATGCATTGAATCTATCGACCAGGTGATATTCTCCCCTGAGCTTGGCTTGATCGTTCGGATGGTCGAAGTGCTAAGCTTCTCACGTTGGCCAGTCCTGCGAGGTGCTGGCTGTGTGTGCCCCTGATTTTTTTCTCCAGGGATTTTAGTTTACCATTGAGGTTTCAACATTTTCAGCCTACCCTCTGGTGAACTAACATAGCAATGGAAAATCACCATTCTTAATGGGAAAATCCACTATAAATGGCCATTTTCAATAGCTATTTTGACATAACCAGAGGGTACACCCCCCCCTCGTGATCACCTCTGAAAACCTGGGATGTGGGATGGCCTGGGCTCGACAAACAGGGTCTCCTGACTCCAGGCAACTCGCCGCCTGGCATGATTGAGAGAGCAAGCAAAAGCAGCCCCCGTGATTCTCAGGGTAGGGGGGGTCACCACACTGCTCTCTGCCGATATAGCAATTATATGGGTGTGTCTGAAAATGTTGTGTACCCCTTTTTACCCAATGGTTTTGCTGATCATTATCCCTATTAAATGGCTATAATTGGGAATATACCCTATTTTCAGACAAACCCATATGCAATCATATAACTTGTCTAAATTTCCATCAATTGAGATTGAACCGCCCAGTTTGAGACCGCGGTTGCACGGCTCAGGAATGGCCAGTTTGGCGTCAACTTCGGGCCGCATCTTGGAGGAACCCCAGGAAACCCTGGACGCCAGCTGATTGCAACACTCGTCCAGCATGGCTGGAAAATCACCTAGTTCGATGACTTTCCCAGCGAGAAAAACCTCCATTTATAGGGGAATTTAAGCAATTGCCATGTTTGATTCCCAGTGAGGTCATACTACCTTCGCCTGTGCCCGCCTGATGATAACGAAATCACCAGCCCCTTGGTCATCCATCCCGCAATGGGAATCCAAACATCATGGGTATCTGATAATCCCTCTGAAAATGGATTGAAGATGATCCCCCACTATGGGCCATATCTCTACCGAAGACACAACCATATCCACCACACCAGATACAGCGTTGAATGGTGAAAAAAAACCAGTTCGGATGGTTCAGGTGTTCGTTGTACCAGGACACCAGGAGCGCTGTCTTGGTCAAACCGCATGAAAACTGGTTCCACTCTCCAATGAAATGGCCTCAATAAGGTCAAACCATTGCAGGACATTGCTGATCTATCTTCATTTCGATGTCTAAAGGCATCTTCTATCTGCCAGTGGAGCTTGCAGCCAACCCTTCGAGGCGTCTGGCTTCAAAGTGCAGATCTCTCTTATTCAAAGGTCTTGGTCTATCTCGCAGCAGTTGGATTGGTGGCTCATTGCCAGCTGCTCGCTGTACATTGACATGTCTCCCCAAAGTTCCCTAAAAAGCAGTTCCTAAGGAAATAGGAAACAGCAAAGGTCATGTTGCAAACCAAAGGAACGGTTTCGCAAAGGGCCATCGGTCGCTTCCTGCAATTTTTTTTGACACCATCTGGTACACGATGGGGACGCAGTCCGTCTTGCCTGGATCATCTTGGGTAGAAATGTTTGAGACGGACTTCATCTTTTGATCCCCATTGGTGAGGCGCTTTCTCAGTAGCGCCAAAATCTTGGCACCTTCCAGAATGGTGAGGAAAAACGATGCCTCATCCGTGTAGTGATAGAGAACTTTGTCATCACGGAGACCATTGTGACATATTGTGACCCGCATCCTCGCGCAAATCAAAGGCCCAGGCTCACATTTTGATTCTTGTCTGCTCACTGCTCACTCATGTTTGATGACTAAGGCCTTCTCAGAGCTGTAGCCTGTTGCCTCCAAAAGATGACCTTCAAAGTAGGTCTCACTTCCAAAGAAGCAGCTTGGGGTCACTGGTGTCACCAGTCGCCATAGGGGATGCACCAGGAATTTCTATTACGTTCTAACTTATTCAACTACCACATTAGGTCGCAATCAGATCAATTGTGGATTGAGATGTAGCTAAGCAATGAATTGAACAATGATGCACAGATTCGCTCTTATATTCAACTCATGTATGTGGGTATGGCTCAAAATAAATGACCCACTTTTGGTACGATGAAGAAACAATAAATTCAATAAATAATTAACCCATTTGGTGAATCAAAACGGTACAGTTCAATGGTTCCAAATTCTAAACGGCCATCGTTGATGCCATCACCAGGTGATGCCGAAACTGCGGAGCTCTTGCCATCGTTGATGCCAGTATGGAAAGGTCAGAAAAAACCGGAAATCACGCTTCTACTAGGCTTCTACCACCCAAACCTCGGGGTTCCTGTTTCCTACAGTTTGTCCCTTCAACATCCATCGAACAATTTTGGGAAATTAGGGTCACCTCAGCAATCAAAGCCACTGACATTCAAGAGATAGCTCTTTTTGCAGCTAGCAATGATCTTGGCGATGGCACATCTAGCAATCTGCCACAAATTTACAGCCAAATACCCATCACATCCCACCACCTGTCCCTGCCCTGGCTTGCGCACCCACAGCAGGTAGAAGCAGCTGCACACCAGCGAGCCCATGAATCTGTCGTGGTACAAATAAAAGGGAACCAGCATGGACCAGCAGAGTTCTGGAAACCCTGCAATAGAATGCAATACATTCTATGTGAAAACACACATATATATGTATATATGTGTATGTAATGTAATGTGATGTAGTGTGATGTGATGTGATGCGATGTGATGTGATGTGATGTGATGTGGATTGATGTAATGTACGAGTACTGTAAGGTCATGTCATGTAATGTAATTTGATGTGGCGTGGATTGATGTAATGTTATGTCATGTCATGTCATGTCATGTGATGTGATGTGATGTGGGTTGATGTAATGTCATGTGATGTGATGTGGATTGATGTAATGTAATGTAATGTAATGTAGTGTAGTGTAATGTAATGTAATGTAATGTAATGTAATATCATGTCATGTAATGTAATGTGATGTGATGTGGATTGATGTAATGTTATGTCATGTGATGTGATGTGATGTGGATTGATGTCATGTAACGTCATGTCATGAAATGTAATGTAATGTGATGTCATATAATGTAATGAAATGTCATGTAATGTAATGTCATGTACTGTAATGTAATGTCATGTAATGTAATATCATGTCGTGTAATGGAGTGTAATGTATGTAAAGTAAAGCATATAATGTAATGTATATAATGTAATGTATATAATGTAGTGTACATAATGTAGTGTGATGAAATGTGTTGTAATATAATGTATTGTAATGTAATGTACTGCATATATCTATATGAACGATATATATATATATACGTATATATATATATATCATATATAATGAAATATGTATATATGATATATGAATATGCAACATCTATATCTCAATAAAACACAATTTCCAGACATCTGGTACCAATTTAGTGGACCGGACTGTTGTCTTGTGAATTGCCCCCCCGCAATTGCAGAGGCAGTCCTATATCAGAGTTATTCTCTGTATCTTGGGGATAAGATGGGCCAACAACAAGAAACATCCAACCAAAGCTTGCCCAGAGATGGTGGTATTTGACCAGCAAGAATGGCAGACCTGGCCTTCCATCCTAGTGACGCTGGCGTCGGCCAGGGGCCACTGCTTAGAGTCACATGGCAAGTGGAAAATCTCCAGCCTTTAACCAGCATTAGAGAAGTGATTGCTCTACCTAAAGGGATCGAATATTAACCACCAGGAATTTTGTCCTCATGTTCTGCGGGTTCTCTCTGAGGGTAATTACTGATGTTGAAGTTCAAGCCTAACGATGAAACAGTTGGTTTGAAGTTCCAGCTAAAGCTACTCCACAAAGGTAAGCAGCGCTGAATAAGCTCAAACGAATACACAAGCTAGATTGGGCCTGGAGAATGTTTTTCCATACTTCTCCCGAAAAAATGGCAATCTTGTCGTTGCATGTTGAATGTCGGTGTTTTTACTGTCCATCGCTGCGAATCGGAGCTGAAAGTCCTGAGCCGAGGTCCGGGTAGTTGACATGCTTGAAGAATGCTCAGGATTCGAAAGGTGTCACGGAACACGAACTAAACGACAAATACTATATCCGCCGACCCCGGCAGACACAAGGGGGAGTGCGTAAGGGAAAACGAGCAACTTGAAGAAACTGCTGCTGCTGCTGCTGCTACTTCCTACTACTACTACTACTACTACTCCTACTACTCCTACTGTTACTGCTACTGCTACTGCTACTCCTACTACTCCTACTGCTACTCCTACTGCTACTCCCACTGCTACTCCTACTGCTACTCCTACTGCTACTCCTACTACTCCTACTGCTAGTCCTACTGCTACTCCTACTGCTACTCCTACTGCTACTCCCTGCTGCTACTCCCACTGCTACTCCTACTACTCCTACCGCTCCTACCGCTCCTACTACTCCTACTGCTCCTACCGCTCCTACTACTCCTGCTACTACTGCTGCTACTGCTGCTACTGCTGCTACTACTGCTACTACTGCTACTACTGCTACTACTGCTGCTACTACTACTACTACTGCTACTACTGCTGCTACTACTGCTACTACTGCTACTACGACTACTACTACGACTACTACTACTACTACGACTACTACTACGACTACTACTACGACTACTACTACGACTACTACTACTACGACGACTACTACTACTACTACCACCAACACTACCACCACCACTACCACCACCACCACCACCACCAACTACCTACTGCCTACTGCCTACTGCCTACTGCCTACTCCCTACTGCCTACTGCCTACTGCCTCCTACCTCCTACCTGCTACCTGCTACCTGCTACCTGCTACCTGCTAACTGCTAACTGACTGCTAACTGCTACCTGCTAACTGCTAACTGCTAACTGCGAACTGCTAACTGCTAACTGCTAACTGCTAACTGCCAGCTGCTAACTGCTAACTGCTAACTGCTAACTGCTAACTGGTACTGCTACTGCTACTACTACTACTACTGCTGCTGCTGCTGCTACTACTGCTACTGCTTCTGGTACTGCTACTCCTACTCCTACTCCCACTACCACTACCACTACCACTACTACCACCACTACTACTACTACTTCTACTACTACTTCTACTTCTACTACTACTACTACTACTACTACTCCTGCTACTACTACTACTACTACTACTGCTACTGCTACTGCTACTGCTACTGCTACTGCTACTGCTACTGCTACTGCTACTACTACTACTACCACTACCACTACCACTCCCACCACCACCACCACCACCACCACTACCAGCAGGCAGCAGTCAGGAGGCACGAAGCCAGCAGCAGGCAGCCAGCAGGCAGCAGGTAGCAGCCAGCAGCCAGCAGCCACGAGCCAGCAGCCAGTAGGCAGCAGCCGCCAGTCAGGAGGCACGAAGCCAGCAGCAGGCAGCCAGCAGGCACCAGGCAGCAGCCAGCAGCAGCCAGTAGCCAGCAGCCAGTAAGACACAAAATACACAAAAAATGCAAATTGTCTAGGGTTTCAGAAGCGACGTTTGGCACTTTTCCCGTTTATAATGGTTTCAAGAACGTGGGAAAGAGCGCGCAAAGGTAGACAAAGGTGATATTGTAAGCAACTAGAAATGCACATAGCCATTAGCCAGCAGCCAGCGGCAGCAGCAGCCAGCAGCCAGCAGCAGCCAGCAGCCAGCAGCCAGCAAGCAGGCGGCAGGCAGCCAGTAGTCAGCAGCCAGGAGCCAGGATCAAGTGACGGCCTTGACCTGCTTTCTGTGCACCAGCCTCAAAAATGGATGGTTGCTACAAGGTTCTACAATGAAACACAGGCACGTTTAACCCAAGTTGGGCCCAACAGCCATATCAGTGAAACAAATATTGCGATGTATTTGCAGTTGCTGGGGATGTCTGGGGTTCCAAGTGGTTCTTCAATTCCATTGCAATGTGCCTTTTTCGGTACAATTGCACCGTAAATCATTTTGTGAATGCCCTTTCCCAATCTTTGGGAGAGAGTTTGGTGATAACATGTGAGAACATGCGAGAACTTCCCCAGATTTTCCCAAGATTTTGACCCCAGCTCTGGATCCAAACCAAACCCCGAGCGTTTGTTTTGCCCTGTGTCAGCCAGAGCTCAGTTCTTACAGTGTCGCCATTGTCGGCCTCACAGTGTGGGAAACCATGAAACCCCACGAAAATCCCATATTAACCCAATGGTTTTTTTAAAATAGGTGTGTTACAAATTAATATAATGTATTTCATTATGTTACATGATGTGTCAAAGTTTTGGACTCTGGGCTGGGTTTCTTCTATGTTCATCACCCATTCATATTAATGTTTGGCAAGTTTGGGCCCATACCCAAATAAGAACAAAGTACCGTTTGCCCGTTTGCTGCTTTTATTCTTCAAAAAAACAGCGAAACCCATCACTTTGGTGCACGGCTGGATATCCCTACATAAACTGCCAACAGGAAAGCAGATGAAAGCAGTATGGTTTCCAAAGGTTTTAACATCTCCAAATTCCCAACAGAAGAGCCCGAAGCACCGGCACAGGGAACCTCTCACGCTTGGGCACAGAAGCTCCAAAGGTCCCATGTTCCGTTGGAAATCAGCCTCGGAAGAACAGGAAGCCCCAAATCCAAAGGATTCAGCACTGCGTCAACGAAAAAGAACCACGAGGTTGCCGTGTCAAGAACCTTTCGGTTGCCGTCAGCCTTTGGTTTCAAGTGTCAAGCAAGTGAATGGTCCAAAAAGTCAGGCCGCCTCCCAAATATCAGTAAGAAATATGTGGATGATCCATCCAAATCACTTCTGCCTCTTGAAACTTGAAACGAAGCAAAAGTTGAACGCAAATCACCACAAATCCTTCAAACGATGCGAATCCACACAAATTGGTTCACTTCTGTTAGCTTGTGTTCACTTTGATTCTATCTTGGGAAACCCCAACAGATCAAACTACAGCTAGAAAACATTAGAAAACCCTGGTTGCATCATGTTTCAGTGATGCTATCCTAACATGTTGGAGCTCAGAAGCCTGTCAGCGACACCGGCGCAAATCGCTGCTGCCGCGGTCGGAGCGGTTCGAGCTCTCTGTTTGTGCCGGACTGGCGGACGGGTACCGCACTTTCTCAACAAGGAAAGTGTTGATAAAAGGATGTAAATGGCGGCCCATGTTTGGACAAGGCCATCTCTATAGTCTAGTTTGCTGAGATCTGACATTGCTACCAGAGATGGAAAAACGATAGCGGGACGAAGAAAGCGGTACATCCACAGCGGTGCAACGAAGCTTCAGCTGGCTCAAAATCGCAAAGGGACGCTTGGGGGTTGGCTTTTTGTACCTATGAACTTGGAGGAACCTGATAGGAAGACTTCGCATTTTGAATCACAACAACTGCAACACTGAACTGGGGCATTGCGCAGAAGTGTCACAGTCATAGTATATGGAGCATTGGCATTGATTGACAAGCCCGAGTCACTCGAAAACCGCCGGGCAAGTGCCTAGATGTAATGTACTGGGCCCAAGTTCCGAAGTTCCAGCATGCAGATTTTGAGAATGGCACGCTGCATAGAGGTTCCAAGTTTCCATTGC